CAAAAGAAAGCAGGTGTAGCCATTCTCATAATGTAAAGATAGATAAGGAGGGTCATTATATAATAGTAAAGGGAACAATTTATCAAGATGACATAACAATCTTAAATATTTGTGCACCTAAGATAGTACATCCAGATTCATAAAGCAAACCTTACTAGATCCAAACAAAGAGATAAACAGCAATATCAAAGTGCTGGCAACTTCAACACCCCACTGATGTAACTGGACAGATCCTCCAAGCAGAAAATAAGCAAACACTGGACTTGCATGTGACTCTAGAGCAAATGGGCCTAACAGACATTTATACAACATTCTATTCTACCCAAATATACATTTTTCTCATCAGCACATGGAACATTCTCTAAGATCACATCTTAGGCCTCAAAATGTGTCTCAACAAATTCAAAAAACTAGAAATTATATATCTTCTCAGACCACAGTGAAATAAAATTAGAAATCAACTACAATAGAAATGCTGAATTCTATACAAAGTCATGGAAATTAACCTCCTGTTGAAGGAGTATTGGGTCAAGGTAGAAATCAAAAGATTCCTCTAATTAAATGGCAAAGGGGACACAAGTTATCAATCTGTGGGATTCAGCAAAAGCAGTCCTAAGGGAAAATTCATAGCCTTAAATGCCTATATCAAAGGACAAAGATCACAAATGAATCTAATGAATTGTCTCAAGGAACTAAAAAAAAGAGCGAACCAAACCTAGCAGAAGACAGGAAATAACTATGGTCAGAGCAAAGAACTAAATGAAATAAAAAACAAAATACAGAAGATTAATGAAACTAAAAGTTGGTTCTTTAAAAAGATATAAACACAATTGACAGGCCTCACACTAGATTAACCAGAAATAGAAAAGGACCCAAAAAAGCTCAATTGGAAATGAAAAAGGAGATATTAACTGATACCTCAGAAATATAAAATATCATCTGTGAATACTATAAAAATCTCTATACACATAACCTTGGAAATATTGAGGAAATGGACAAATTCCTGGAAACACACAACCTCCCAAGGCTCAAGCAGGAAGAAATAGAACTCCTGAACAGACCAATTATGAGCAATGACATTGAAGCAGCAATAAAAAATTTTCCCAATAAAGTCCCAAACCAGATGGTTTCATGGCCAAATTTGATCAGACCTACAAAGAATTGGTACCCATACTGCAGAAATTATTTCATATCAAAAAAGAAAGAATATTCCCCAAGTCATTTGATAAAGCCAGTATCACCTTGATACCAAAATCAGAAAAGGAAAAAAGAAAACTATAGACCAATATCCCTCATGAATACAGATGCAAAAATCCTCAATAAAATTCTAGCAAACTGAACGCAGTAGCACATCAAAAAAATAATCTACCACCACCAACTTGGCTTTATTCCAGGGATACAAGGATGGTTCAACATACATAAATCCATAAATATGATTTACCACATAAACAGAAGCAAAAACAAAGATCATATGATCAATCTCAATGGATGCAGAAAAAGCATTTGACAAAATTCAGCACCCTTTTATAAAATCTCATAAAAAACAGGCATAGATGGAACATACCTTAAAATTATAAAAGCCATATATGACAAACCCACAGCCAAAATTGTACTAGATGGGGAAAAGCTGAAATCATTCCCACTCAAAACTAGAACAAGACAAGGATGCCCACTGCTACCACTTTTATTCAACAAAGTGCTGGAAGTCCTAGCCAGAGCAATGAGGCAAGAGAAGAAAGTCAAGGGTATCCAAATTGGGAAACAGGTCAAACTATTGCTCTTTGCTGATGATATGATCTTATATCTAGAAAACCCCAAAGATTCCACCAAGAGATTACTGGAATTGATAAATACACTCAGCAAAATCTCAGGTTACGAAATCAATGTATACAAGTCAGTAGCACTCCTATACACCAAGCTGAGAATCAAATCAAAGACTTGATAACTTTCATGATAGCTACAGAGAAAATAAAATACTTAGCAATATATTTAATGAAGGAGGTGAAAGATCTCTAAGAAGTATGAAACACTGAAGAAGGAAATTGCAGATGACATAAACTAATGGGAAAACACATCATGCTCACAGATCAGAATTAGCATTGTTAAAATGCCCATACTACCCAAAATGATTTACAGATTCAATGTAATCTCCATCAAAATACCAATATCATCTTTTAAAGATCTAGAAAAAATAATTCTACACTTTGTATGGAACCAGAAAAGAACCCAAATAGCTGTAATAGACTTAAACAAAAGGAACAAATCTGGAGGCATCACTTTACTTGACTTCAAGCTAGTACACAGTACAAGGATTTAGTAACCAAAAAAGCATGGTACTGGCATAAAAATAGAGACATAGACCAATGAAACAGAACAGAGAACCCAGATATAAAACCACCCATATATTGCCATCTGATATTTGACAAAGTAGACAGCAAATTACACTGGAAAATGAACCCCTATTTAATAAATGGTGCTGGGAAAATAGGATAGCCATATGTAGAAGACTGAAACAGGATCCATATCTCACTACTCACAAAAATTAATTCAAGATGGATAACAGACTTAAACCTAAGATATGAAACCACAGGAATTCTAAAAGAAATGTTGGAAAACTCTTTTAGATATTGCCTATGAAAGAATTTGTGAAGAACCATCCATGGGCAAGCACAGCAACAAGAAAAATAATAAATGGGACTTGATTAAATTAAAAGGCTTCTGCACAGCCAAGGAAACAATCGAAGAGCGAATAGACAGTCTACAGAATGGAGAAAATATCTGCATGCTATACATCCTATAAAGGACTAACAGCAAAATCTACAAAGAGCTCAAGCAAATCAGCAAGAAAAAAATCAAACCACCCATTAAATACTGAGTGGGCAAAAGATATGAACAGAGCTTTAAAAGATAGACTGATGGCCAATAAACATTTCAAAATGCTTGACATCACTGATCATCAGGAAAACGCAAATAAAAACCAATGAGATATCACCTAACCTGTGAGAATGGCTTTTATCAAAGAGTTCCAAAACAATAGATGCTGGCATGGATGTGGAGAGACAGAACACTTATACACTGTCGGTGAGACTGCAAACTACTGTATCCTCTATGGAAATAGTATGGAGATTCTTCAAGGAACTTAAAGTAGACTCACCATTTGATCCAGCAATCCCACTACTGGTTATTTACCCAAAGGAAAAAGTCATTTTATCAAAAGATACTTGTATTGAATATTTGTTGCAGCACAATTCACAATCACATATGTGGAATCAACCCAAATTCCCTCAATTCATGATAAATTATAAAATGTGGTATATACATACCATGGAGTACTACTCAGACATAATAAAAATTAATACCTTTTGCAATAATCTAGATGGAACTGGAGATCATTCTCCTAAGTGAAATGTCTATAGAAAAACCACCACATGTACTATTAGAACTAACTGATGAGCACTCATGTGCACAGATGAAAGTAAAACTCAATGGAAATTGTAGAGGTGGGAGGGGGGAGGAGAGGATTGGTGAAATCATACCTAACAGGTACAACGTACACACTATCTGGGTGATGGGCACATTTATAACTTTGACTCAAGCAGTACAAAAGCAATGTACTGCTTTTGTACTGCTTGAGTCAACCATGTAATCAACATTTGTACCCTCATGATATTCTGAAATAGGCAAAACAAAATCAAACCAAATGATTCCAAGTGTCCTGGCTATCTAGTTTACAAAACTGTACTAGTAAGGAAAAAGGTCCTTAGGTCAGATTTCATCTTCCTTTCTATAGCAACTGTGAAGGATGCATCACATGTCATAGAACTAACTCTGAATGTTTTCACAAAGAACAATACTGGAACTTCTAAGGATAGAGGCTGGCACAATGTAAGAGCTTAAAGTGTATAAACAATGATTAAAAAACTAGTCTTACCAAATTCAAGAACATATGAAAATGTTTTTAAAAAGATGTATACGACCAGTACGACCAGGCCACAGCCTCAGCCTCCTCCTGGGCGGTGCAGAAGGCATGGCTGGGACAGGGCCCAGGAGGTGGTCCTGGGCCTGGCAGGGGGCTCAGCCGGGCATGATTCACAGCAATATTGCCAATGAAGAGTGGGAGGGTCACAGTGGCTTCAGGCGCCTTAAGTAATATAAAGATTAAGCATAATCTTTATATTAAAATGTGTGGTAGATTACTATAAAATGGTCCCCAATAATTATGCTCTCTGTGCCCACTTTTTACAAAGTGACTTTCTTCCTCTTACCAAGAGATATGGCTTTTTTCCCTACCCCTTGACTCTGGACTTCCCTTGACTTATTTTAACCAATAGAATGCAGCAGAAGTAACATGTGACTTCAGAGGCTAGGCCTCAAGTGACCTTGCAATTTCCACTTTCACTGAGAACATTCTTACTGTCAAGGAAGCCCAGTCTTGAATACTGAATGATCAGAGATCATGTGACGAGAGTCCCAGCCACCAAGTCCCTAGACAGCAGGTGATTTCATCTTAGACTTTCTAGCCTCACTCCTAGCACCCTGATGATTACAGTTATATAAACAAACTCAGGCAAGATCAGCAGAACTGCCTAGCTGGGCATAATCAACTGATAAAATCATGAGAAATAATAAATTCTTGTAAGACACTAAGTTCTGGGTGATTATTACATACATATGATTGAGATCAGAAAGTACAAGAAAAGGAAACAGTATTCAAACAAAATGAGCTATATGATTTTAGGCATTTTATTTTCTGAGTAGAAACTACAGAATTGAACAGCAAGAAGAAAAAACTCTAAAATCCTGAGAATCTGATTCAACATTAACTCTTTGAAAAAGTACTATAACAATTTTAAATATAAGTAATTTATTTTTATATTCACAAAACCAGACGTCCTCAAATTACGGCCCTCGGGCCACATGTGGGTGTTTTTGCCTGTTTGTTTTTTTACTTCAAAATAAGATGTGGAGTGTGCATAGAAATTTGCTCATAGTTTTTCTTAAACTATAGTCTGGCACTCCAACGGTCTGAGGGACAGTGAACTGGCCCCATTTAAAAAGTTTGAGGACCCCTGCACAAAACTAATTGCAACAGTATTCTATACTGGATTATTAGAGTTTTTTATATTCATTAGAGGGTGTCAGTCTCCCTATAACCTAATTTTTCTGTCCAAAAGTATTATATAGTGGTCTTTCCCATCAAACATAATAGGCTTGTATCCCTGCAGTAAATATAGCAGTCATTGATTTCGGGGAAATTAGCATCCAATAGTGTATTTTCATACCCTTTGGCAATTAGAAAACGTTAAAGTGCTCGAATATGAACTCTACAATGATGTTCAGAGAGGATTTATAACCTATACAAGTACCAACAAAACATTTAAAAATTAGAGTAAGACTTGCATTATTAAAATGTGTAGGTTTGCATTGTTGAGGCATAAACAGTGCATAGTTCTATATTCAATATATTTTGATTTGCATTGATGTTGCATCATAGGAAGCTTAAAAATATTTCTACCTTCTATGGCAGAATCAATTTAGAGAGCATGATTCCACTAATTCCTACAATTAACAAGTTTCCTTTAACTTGTTAAAGTAATGTTAACAAGTCAACATTCCTTCCCATCTCATATCATCAACCCACTCCCAGCACCCAGTTTAATGATATATTTTGGTAAGTGATTAATAAATTAGTGTCTAAAGATGAGCAGTGGTCATCAGCTGTATCATATCATGGAAAGCATGAAAGGTCAGCTGAACTAGCTTTTCTGCATCAGTCTCCGGACATGATTTCCAGGCTGTACAGGCCACAACAAACCTGTGAAGCATAAATAATAAATGTTAAGATTACACAAAAGGCTCTAAATAGTGATGGTGAATAGAGCCAGGGCCTTTATTTTTTTATTATTTTTTTTTTTTTTGAGACAGAGTCTCGCTTTGTTGTCCAGGCTAGAGTGAGTGCCGTGGCGTCAGCCTAGCTCACAGCAACCTCAAACTCCTGGGCTCGAGTGATCCTTCTGCCTCAGCCTCCCGAGTAGCTGGGACTATAGGCATGCGCCACCATGCCCGGCTAATTTTTTTTATATATATATCAGTTGGCCAATTAATTTCTTTCTATTTATAGTAGAGACGGGGTCTCGCTCTTGCTCAGGCTGGTTTTGAACTCCTGACCTTGAGCAATCCGCCCGCCTCGGCCTCCCAAGAGCTAGGATTACAGGCGTGAGCCACAGCGCCCGGCCAGAGCCAGGGCCTTTATTCCATCTTGTTGTTCATACATGAAATGTCCATTCTTGCTAGCATTAAGTAAATATAGCCTGACACAATTGATGGTAAAGCCTAATTACAGATAGGAACCCTTCATTTGCTAGATGGCTAGTTCCTGGGGACAAAAGGGAAAAAAAATTAACTAGATCCCAAGAATGCTCTGGAGCAAGGTCTATTATGTTCAAAACAGAATAAAACAAAAACCTCCTTCCTAAAGTGCCACTGGAATGAGTTGGAATATGAATTCATGCTACTGCATGAAATTTTGCAATGAAATGTGAACTGTTTTTAAAGAGTATAACACTGAAAAAAAAAAAAAAGAAACAAGAGGAAAAGAAGTGAGAAAAGCTATTTCTAGAAGAGTCAGAGAGAGAAATTCTTGGGACCAAGTCATGCCATTCTCCTTCTAGAGCCCCCTGATGAAGAAATCCTAGATCTGGCAAGTGAAAAAAGTGGCCCCAAGAAGCTGAAGGAAATGGGCAAGAAGCCTGGCTTTTGGTGGGCTCAGAGCAGAAGAAACTGGGCTACTAACTTTCTTAGAACTAGTTGTCTCCTTTCCAGACCCTCACAAGTTCCTACAGCAAAACATGAATTAGGCTCAAAATTGAAATGTGCAATATAATGTTTCTGGACAACCATGTAATTTTCACATCACTAAAAAAAAGACAGTAAGTTTTATCTTCAATGTGCACTTTAGATTAAGCAGAATAAAATAAAAACATGCTCTGGCCCAGTATATAATGATGAATTGATAAAAAAAAAACCCTCTCCTTTGTAATATAAATTGATTTACCCAGTTTTTCTTTGTCACAATAGTATTGTCTATGACTATATGAACCACTATATATTTAAAAATTTTATCTCAACTTACTATAAAATACCTTGTATAGATTAATACATTAATTGTACTAATTATACTACTTTTGAGGATTATGATGATATGATCAGTGAGTCATCCTGATACAGTGTTCTGTACAAAAATATCTATGGACTGATTTGACATGTGTCTGAAAAGCACAACAGAGAAACATAAATAGACATTAAGTGCCTCAGTGGTAAAAAAAAAAAAAAAATGGTTACTTGTGTAGCAAATGACAGATGAAACATAATCAGAATCATAATGTAGGAAGGCATTTAAATAACAAAACTTTGATACCTTTCTTACTCTATAGCACAGTAAGGAATAAAAAAGAGAAGCCTCACCTGTCATCTCTGATGTGGTAGAAAAATCCATATCCGTTGTGTACCATGGGAACCACCACTCCCTGGACTCGTAAATAACCAACCAGACTTGTTGAGAGAACAAAATTTCCACCTCCTCCACTGTGTAACACAACAAAAGGATATTTTACTAGGCCTACAAATGCTTATATTATTTCTGAAAAGCTTTTAACATTCAGAAAAAAGAAAGTAATGAACTTGTAAAACACTACACTATATTACCTTTTGGAAAAAAGTGGGTCTGTAAAGAGTTCAGGAACCGGGAGACCTTCCTCTTTTGCTATGAGTAAGAGACCTAAAAGGTGACGGTCAAATCCTGCAATGAAACCCCAAATATGAAGTTAGCAAAAAATTTTTCAACATGAAAGATGTTTTTTTCAAGTTAGAATAGTTTTAACATGAGTACCTTTTCCGGCTGAACAATCTTTCATCAATTTATTATGCTTTGTAAAAGCTTGTAACATCTTTTGCTGCTGTTCATGAAGCTGTAAAAATCAAGAAACACTTTAATAACAAACTGTACAAAACTCGTGGAAAAAAAAACCCCTGAGCTCACTGTAATTAGGATTTGGGTAATATGGAAGAGAAAAGATGATTTCTAGGAAGACCTGTGACCCACACTTCTATGTCTCTTTACCTTAATTATTCTCTTGCCTTTTCTTCCCTACATACCTGCTTCTTGATTATTTCTTTCCTGGAACAGGAAAATAGGGACTTGCTGGCAGCACTCAAGTGTCATTAAATGTCAAGACAAGAGCAAGATTTCCAAACTAAGCATATCTCCAAAAATGACAATGAAACAATTTTATAAAATTAAAATGTTAATATATATATAACCATGTCTATCAAAACTAAAGAAATAAAAGTAATACTAAAATAGCAGTGGGAAAGAAATATGCTGTTGTCTAAACTCTTCAAAATAGGAGTATAAAACAAAACATACCACTGTTCTGGTTCTAGTATATGAAACAATCTGATTTCAAAAACATTTAACCACATCAAGAAAAGCTTCCTTTTAAAGGCACTTTGGGTGTTCTGCACTTTACTAGTGTTGTTCTAAAGGTAGATCAGAAGTATTGGGATACTCAAAGTACTGAACGCACTTTGCCTAGAAAATGACACAAATGGGTTTCTTTTTAGGACTTCCCTGTTTCTTAGCCTTTCCAAGTACATACTTCTCTGGCAAATGAACAAATGCTTTGAAAACTTCAGAAAAGATATTTCAAAGTAGTTTAATGATTCAGGGGAATTGAAGCAAAGAAGTTAGTTATTCAAGGGCCAAGTTTCCTTTAGAACACTTAAGCGAATCCTTTCAATTTTTCCTTTTCTGATACTCACGCTAGTAGAAGGATCCTGCATAGACTGACACCACCTGACTGCTTCTAGTGTACATGATCGCATAGTCTCTGTACGGCCATGATAAAAATATCTTGTCATAGCTGTTTCATAGCAACAACCAGGGCTGCAAGAAAAAAAATTAAGAGTGTATCATAAGAAAGAAAATGTCCTAATGTCATTATAAATACAGTTTTCTAATAAAGTTAGCTTTGTTCAGAGACTAAGCCTTATAACATTCAGATTAGAGTTGAGACTTTCAATAAAAAAGAGGCTGATTTCAGTAGCAAAGAACATAAAATATTGATGATACCAGCTGTTTGAAAAGCTTGGCTGCTGCCAGGTATACACAATGCAGTCTGTGGTGGGAAGCCTCTCTATATGGTCCCCCAGTGAGCCCCGCCTCCTCCTATTTATGCTTCGAGTTCAGGCTAGACGTAGTGATTTGCTTCTAATGGCGAGAATATAGCACAAGTGATGGGATGTCACATCTGAAATTAGGTTACAAAGAGAGCCCTCCTCTCTTGCTCTCTTACCTCCTTTGAGGAAAGCCAGCACCATAGTGGAAGCTGCAAAAAACTTGATAGAGGCCCTCTGGACACCAGCTTGGGAGGAACTAAATCCTGTTTATAACCATGTGAGTGAGCCTGGAAGCAGATCCACCCTCAGGAGAGCCTTCAGATGAAAACACAGCCCTGGCTGACACTCTGACTACAACCTCATGGAAAAACCTTAAGACCGAGGTACCCTGCTAAGCTGCACCTGATTTACTAATCCACAGAAAATGTAACATAAATGTTTGTGTTTTAAGCTACTAAGTTTTGTGGTAATTTGTTCCACATCAATAGATAATACAGAGTCCTTAGCCTTTAAGTTCCTTCATATAGAACATGAATGACTAGAATTAAGTAGAAGCATTACTTAAGAAGTTCCCCAGAGAAATATTTGTCTTTCTGGACTAGACAATGATACAACAATTTTAGATGTAAAACATTCTTCCTTTCCTGGTGGTTAGAATTTAAAGTAAAGAGATCAAATGGCCTAAGAGTAAAAGGTCTGAATGTGGACACCAGGAGGGCTCAGCAGTTACCAAGCCTCTTCTACTCAGTGTTGCTGTCATTCTGGGGTGAAATAGTATCCTTTCAAAGTCTAAGGGAGAAAACACAAATAACATTTTTTACATGGCACTAAAAATAACATTCTTTCAAAAAAAATTAAAAATAAAAATGAGTAATAAAATATCACCACTCTGTAACCTTAATAATAGAAATAATAGATCTTGGCATTAACCCTCAATGGCTACTAAAACACTAGGTAAAAAAAATTCAGGGGAGAAACTTTATAATGGATGCTGGCTGACAAATGAGCCCACTCTCAATCTTAAAGAGATGAAATAGAAAGCAAACAGCATTAACAATTTGATTTATTGTTGTAAAATATAACAAAAATAAGAAATGATCCTTACCAAGTCTTTAGCTCTACCAATTTGCAGGAAATACAAGACTGAACAACATGTTAAATATACAATCAGGAAAATTTAGAAAACTCTATAGGATAAATGACCCAGTTTCATCATATAAAATGCAATAAAAAAGGGAGAGAAAAGATTCTTAAAGTTAAAAAAGACTTAAGAGACACATCAATCAAATGCAGTGTATGAAACTTATTTGGAACCTAATCTAAACATACCTCCTGTCTAAAAAAAAGTACTATGTGAAACTTCCAATGGCTGCCAGCTATATGATGAGCTAGATTGTAGCAAGCCAGATCCTATTAGAAACAAGAAAAACTGGATTAAAAAACCCATCTTTTTGAAAGCTTTGCAGAATTATCAAGGCATCCAGGATGTAAGGGCCAAGATCCAGTGAGAAAAGCAACTCATTGAAGTGAGGCACCTCATTTAAAGCCATTTTCCCCCCTCAAGGAATCTGATGTTTCTTAAGACAGATAAGCAGAAAGGCTGAGAAACCAAACTGCTAAGAGGCAGATAAATTGAAGAGGGCTTTCAGTAATTTCATGAGGCTGTTGAAACAAAGTTAGAAGCTTAGGGGCTAATAAGGCAACCAGGATGTGAGAGGCCAGGATCTCAGATAAGGGGGAGAAAAGGTCAGAGATGTGAGCCTGACAGCCTGAGCTGCTCTTCCCTCAAGCATTTGCTGGCTGGTAAATGGAGCAGGCTGCAAGGGGGAGAGACCAAGGAAAAAGTGGTTGCTTACAGGCTCAGAAGATAGACTAAAGCAATCAGTTGTTTCATGGTTCTAAGAAGATAAAAATTAACAGTTACAGTAGAGGGGCCCTGTTAGACACCCTAGGACTTTACAACAAATAGAAATAGATCAGTCTAAAATTCAGCCTAGAACCAATACAATCCCTGATTGTATTAATAAAAAGTACTCTAACTGCCCACAATAAGATAAAGAAAATCTTTGAAGGAAAATAACATTATGTGGAGCAAGGTCTCTGAACTTTGGCACTAGTGACATTTTAGACTAAATATTTTTTGTTGGGAGAATGTCCTGCACACTGTAAGATAGTTATCAACATCCCTGGTCTCCACCCACTAAATGCCAATAGCACCTTCTCCCCACGTTGTAACAACAAAATATGTCTCTAGACATTCTCCAATGGGGGCAACTGTGCCCCTTAAAAGACAATGAATGTACTAATACAGTAGTTACTAACCATATATATTAGCATATGAAATCTAGCTAGTCCAATTTGAGGTGTAAGTATAAAATGGACATTGGAATTTGAAGACTTATTACAAAAAACGGAAAACATTTCTTTATTTTTTATATTGTTTACAAGTTAAAGTAACATTTTGTTTTTTTGAGACAGAGTCTCACTTTGTTGCCTAGGCTAGAGTGAGTGCCGTGGCATCAGCCTAGCTCACAGCAACCTCAAACTCCTGGCTCAAGCAATCCTCCTGTCTCAGCCTCCCAAGTAGCTGGGACTACAGGCATGCGCCACCATGCCCAGCTAATTTTTTCTATATATATTAGTTGGCCAATTAATTTCTTTCTATTTATAGTAGAGACGGGGTCTCGCTTTTGCTCAGGCTGGTTTCGAACTCCTGACCTCAAGCAATCTACCCACCTCAGCCTCCCAGAGTGCTAGGATTACAGGTGTGAGCCACCGTGTCTGGCCTGAAGTAATATTTTGATATGCTGGTGCTATTGTTTGAATATGTCATATGTTGGAAACTTAATCCCTAAATTAATATGTTGATGGCATTTGGAGATGGGGCCATTGGGAAGTAATTAGGATTAGACAAGGTGATCAGGGTATGACCCCCATGATGGGAATGGTAGCTTTATAAATAGATGAAGAGAGATCTGAGCTGGAATGGTCTTGCCTTCTCACCATGTGATGTCTCCTGCCATGTTATGAAGCAGCAAGAAGGCCCTCATCAGAAGCCAAGCAGATGCTAATCCAGAACTATAAGAAATAAATTTCTTTTCTTTATAAATGACCTAGTCTCAGGCACTCAGTTATAGCAACAGACAATTACATTAAATATATTAAAATTAATTTCACCTCTTTTTTAAAAAAAGACTAACACATTGTAGGGATTATTACTTAGCCTAATTTCAATACTGTTGCTTCTTAAGGAGTAGGAATGCCTGAGTGTAGGGTGAGAGACTGAGGATGGCTGGTTGGCAGTGCTATCAGAACACCCACATTTATCAATTTAGTTTGCTGTCTTCTATGGGCATTATCAGAATTGAAGGGAGAAACAGATCTTCAAAAATAGTTGGAAACTTCAACATCCAACTTTCAATAATGGTAGAATATCTATACATAAGATCAATAAATACAGAACTTGAACAAAGCAATAAATAATTAGACCCAACAAACAGAACATGCCACCCAACTACTAAAGAATACAAATTCTTCTCAAGTGAAAATGAAACATTCTTCAGGAAAGATTATATATGAGGCCTCAAAACAGGTCAATAAATTTAAAAAGACTGAAATCATACAAGTATCTTCTTCAATGAAAACGGAATGAAGCTAGAAATCAGTAATAAAAGAAAAACTGGAAAATTCACAAATATATAGAAATTAAATAACATACTCTTAAATAACCAATTAGTCAACTAAAAATTCACAAGGGACACTAGAAAATTCCTTGAGATGAACAAAAATACAACATACTCAAATGTATGAGATGCAGCAAAAGTAGTATTCAGAAGAAAATTTATAGCTGTAAATGCTTACATGAAAAAAAGAAGATCTCAATCAGTAAGTTAAATGACCACCTTAAGGAACTAGAAAAAAGAAATTCAAACTAAGTCAAAAGCTAACAGAAGGAAGACAATGATAAAGATTGGAGTGGGGATAAACAAAATAGAGAGTAGAAAAATTGAGAAAAATCAATGAAACAAAAAGTTGGTTTTTGTGAAATGATCAACAAAATTGACAAATATTTAGCTACATTAAGAAAAAAAAGAGAAGACTCCAATTACTAAAATCAGTTATGAAAAAGGAGACATTAATAGTGACTTAACAGAAATAAAAAGGATACTGTAAAAAACTGTATGACAATAAATTATATAACCTAAATGAAATGGATATATTTTGAGAAATATACAAACTACCAAATCTGACTCAAGAAAAAAACCAGAAAATATCAACAATGGAAAAGTTGGTTTTTTGAAAAGAAACAAAATTTACAAACCTTTAGCTGGAATAAGAAAAAAGGAAAATGCCTAAATAACCAAAATAAATAAGAGACAAGACAGATGACATTACAACCAATACCACAGATATACAAAGGATAATCAGAGATTATTATAACAACTATATGCCAACAAAATGGAAAACCTAGAAGAAATTGATAAATTCCTAGACACATACAACCTACTAAGATTGAACCATAAAGAAACAGAAAACCTGAACAAACCAATAACAAGTCATGAAATCAAAGCAATAAAATGGCTCTTATCAAAGAAAAGCTTAAGACCTGATGTCTTCACTGCTGAATTCTACCAAACATTTAAAGAACTAATACCAATTCTATTCAAACTATTCCAAAAATAAATTGAAGAGGAGGGAATACTTCCTAACTTATTCTATAAGGCTAGCATCATCCTGATTCCAAAAACAGATAGGGAGACAACAAAAAAAAATAAACTACAGACCAATATCTTTGATGAACGTGGATGCACAAATCCTCAATAAAATACTAGCAAACTTAATTCAACAACATATTAAAAAGATCAGTTACTACAATCAAGTTGGATTCATCCCAGTGATGCAAAGATGGTTTAACATATGCAAATCAATAAGCTTAATTTATCATATCAACAGAATGAAGTTGTCCTTCATTCTGTTGATATGATAAATTAGACAAAACCCATATGATCACTTCAACAGATTCTGGAAAACCATGTGATAAAATTCATTATCCCTCGTGATAAAATACCTCAACAAACTAAAGAAGAAATTATACCTCAAAACATTAATGGCCATATAAGATAAACCCACAGCTAACATCATACTGAATGTGGAAAAATTGAAAGCCTTTCCTCTCAGATCTGGATCAAGCCAAAGAGGCCCACTTTTACCACTTTTATGCAACATAGTGCTGGAAGTTCTCGCCAGAGCAATTAGGCAAGAGAAAGAAATAAGGAGGATCCAAATTGGAAAGGAATAAGTGAAATTGTCCTTGTTTGCAAATAACATGACCTTATATTTTAAAAAGCCTAAAGATACCACCAAAGACTGTTAGAACTGATAAGTTCAGTAAAGTTTCAGGATACAAAATCAACATGCAAAAATCAGTAGCATTTCTACATGCCAACAGCAAACTAGCCGAAAAAGAAATCCAAAAAGGCAATCCCATTTACAATAGCTACAAATAAAATAGAATACCTAGGAATTAATTTAACCAAAGTAGTAAAAGATCTGTACAAGGAAAACTATAAAACACTGAAAAAAGAAATTAAAGAGAATGCAAAAAAAAAAAATGGAATGATATTCCATGGTCATTGACTAGAAGAATTACTATTGTTAAAATGTCTATACTACCCAAAGCAATCTATAGATTCACAACACAATCCCTATCAAAACACCAATGATATTCTTCACAGAAATCCCAAAAACAATCCAAAAACTCACATGGAACCACAAAAGACCCACGATAGCCAAAAGAAATCCTGAGGCAAAAAGAACACAGTTGGAGGTATCACATTACCCAATTTCAAAATATATTACAAAGCTATAGTAACCAGAACAACATGGTATTGGCATAAAAACGGACATATAGACTGATGGAACAGAATAGAGAGCTCAGAGATAAATACACATAATTACAGCCAACTCCTTTCAGACAAAGGCATGAAGAATATACACTGGAGAAACAAGAGTCTCTTAAATAACTGATGCTGCGAAAACTGGATGTCATATGCAATAGAATAAAACTAGATCCTTATCTCTCACCATATACAAAAATCAAATCAAAATGGATTGAAGACTTAAATGCAAGACCTGAAACTATGAAACTAATAGAAGGAAAACATTGGGAAATGCTTCAGGACATTGGTCTGGGCAAAGACTTTTTGGGTGACATCAAAAGCATAGGCAACAAAAGCAAAAATAGACAAATGGGATTATTATCAAGCTCAAAAAGCTTCTTCATAGCAAAAGAAACAACAAACAGAGTGAAGGGACAACTACAGAATGGAAGACAATATTTGCAAACTATCCATCTGACAATGGATTACTATTGAGAATATATAATGAACTCAAACAATTCAATAGCAAAAGATTATAACCTAATAAAAAAAATGAGTAAATAACCTGAGTAGATATTTTTCAAAAGAAGACATAGAAATAGCCAACAGATAAATGAATAAATGCTCAACATCACTAATGATCAGGGAAATGCACATCAAAACTACAATAACGTATCATTTCACTCCAGTTAACACGGCTATTATCAAAAAGACAAAAAACAATGCTGGCAAGGATGCAGAAGAAAAGGAACTCTCATATACTGTTGGTGAGAATATAAATCTGTATAGCCATTATGGAAAACAGTATAGAGTTTCCTCAAGAAACCAGCAATAGAAATATCATATGATTCTGCAATCCTACTGCTTAGTATATATCCAAAAGGAAGTAAATCCGTATGTTAAAGAGATACCTGCACTCACATGTTTATCATAGCACTATTCACAATAGCCCAGATATAGAATCAACCTAAGTGTTCATAAATGGATGAATGGATAAATCCATTATGCAGCCATAAAAAAAAGAACGAAATCCCGTCATCTGCAGCAACATGGATGAGCCTGGAGGACATTATATTAAGTAAAATAAGCCAGGCGCATAAAGACAAATATCTCATGTTCTCACTTATATCTGGGAGTTAAAAAAAATTGATCTCATGGAGGTAAAGGGTAGAATGGTTGTTAACAGAGGTTGGCAAGGGTAGGGAGTGAGGGGAAAATGAAGAGAGATCAGTTACTAGGTATGATACTACAGTTAGATAGAAGGAATAAGTTCTAGTGTTTGGTAGCATAGTAGGGTGGCTATAGTTAACAATTTATTATATATTTCAAAACAGCTAGATTTGGAATATTCCCTACATAAAAAAATGTTAAATGACCAGTAGTTGATATCTCAATCACCTTGATTTGAACATTACACATCGTATGCATGCATTAAAAATATCACATGTACCCCATAAATATGTACAATTATTATTTATATATCAATTTAGAAAAAAACAAGATTGAAGGGCTTTCACTTCTGCTTAGGATGTATTAGAAAGTCACAACATAATGTCTCTCTTATCCTAAAAATGAGTAAAGGCTGGATAATCTACAAAATCATAACTTTTCATGAATTCGTAAGATAACTGAGGTGGTAAGAAAACCAAGTGATCTGAATGCCAAAGAATGACAAAGCCTCTCATAGAAGAGAACAAACATTTCATAAGTATCAAGTGAATACTATGATAAGGTATCAAGGAAAAACTGTGAAACTGTCACAGATCAAAACTCTAATACACTTTTGATAGAAGTACAAAGTAGGACACAGTGCAGTTGGAAAAGAAGTAACCAAAAACACTGAGGAGTTAGGATCGCATAGCTGTATACCCCTGGACTTCAAGATTCTGAAAACAGAAAAATGAATGGTCCTTACCGTCCATGAAGTCTGTAATAGGCCAGCTGAAGTGCAAGCTGAATAAATGTATCAGGGTGAAGCTGCTGCTTCTTGGTCAGCTTTTTGCCAAAAGATGTAAAAGCATGTGCCACAATTTGTAGATCAGATGCCTAACAAAGAGAATTAAATGGGAATAGTAAAAAATCAACTAAAAAGGATACACCCAAACAGAACCAAATTATCTGCATTAAAGTAACCATCAGACATAAAGAATTAAAGGCATTAAAGCTATAATTTTTAAAAAGTTTTATGCTGACATGTTTGAATGACAAAGTTTTATAAATTTTGTTAAAAGAGAAAGCATTATTACTTAAGAGAAAAGTGAAAAATCTACCTCTTTGAGATACTGGGCTTTAGCCTGGTTGATGTCATTTAATACTTTCTCATCCACAGTGAAAACAAGCTCCTCTGGAAGTGGTATGTCCCGTACTTTTTCTGAACCCTGAAAACAGGAAAGACTTAAAAATATTTTATCTATAAAAATCTTAGGGGGAAAAAGATGAAGTATTTGTTCTAATATACCTTCCATCTTCCTTCATTCTCAAAAATGTTCTCATCCACATAATAGCTGATATTCACCAAAACCATTGCATCAAAAGGAGCATGCTAAAACAAAAATACACAAGATTTTGAATACTTTGTCAACTTAAAACCTGATACAATATTTTCACTTTGCTTCCACTCTTAACAGATAATACAGTATAGAACCCTCAAATTACTCACCTCCTACTGATAAAAATATAGGATACCTATATTTTAAAAATATAGGATACCTAAAATTATAGGATACCTATAATGTAACTGCTGTGTTTTATATTTTGAAAAAAGAACAAATGTTTAAAGTTGAAAGCATCTAATTGAGGCTCTTGGGGTCACTGTGGGTGAGTAAAGTAAACATGAACAATCTAGAGAAATTGCTATTTTTACCAGAAGTCAAAGCAGGTGTATATATACACTGATAGGATGTTCAAGAATTTTAAGAACAATGTGGAAAAGCAGATGGGGATGGGTACAAATTTCTTCAGATAAAGACATAGGCTACCAGGGGACAGTTAGAAGGCATAACCATTTTGTGCGTATATCTCCATAAGAGTGTCCAGATATGGCATAAATAATTCTCACTGTTTAAGAAATGTGAGAAAGTAGGGCTGGACATTATAGGGGTGTTACAGATTTGACAGCTATATTTGGAGAAAGGAATTGCAGTTAGTGAATTTTCCCATCATTTATTTTGGAGGACAACGTTTTTGCCTTTATTTTCCCCATGTTCCTTTGACAATTACATTAGCTGGTTCCTTCTCTTACAGCTACTACTTTACATTACACACAGTTATCATTCATGAACTGAATGTATTACTACTGCAGGTCTTGAAGGGAATGAAGGAAAGGCTTGAGACACAGGCCCAATTTCAGAGGAGTAACTCAGTATCTTAAAGGTAACCCTAACACTATAGTTCTGCTGCCCTAAATCATGGCCCAATGAAGCCTATAAGCACAGTTTATTGTTACCAACTATGTAGCAGCTACATCATCAGGGAAGGCTCGAGAGAGGTCGGTACGAGATGCACAAGCAGTTCATCTGCCAGCAACAGCACACATAACAAGATTCAAAGGCCACTACAAATCCATTTTCTAACCACATCTCACAACTGGGTAGTAATTTTACGAAGAATTTTCAGATAATATCACAATATTGTTTCATTTAAGACAACAGTATCGATGTCTAACTATTCTACTAGAACCAGTAAGAAATAGCAAGAATGAAGGATATGAGTCTCTTTGACTTATAATTCTATTGGCCTATCCCCTGATAGAAAGCTAATAATCAATTTCTTTAAAATATTAGGAAACCTGAAAAACTCCAATGTTTTCCTCATGCTTTATTTGTTAAAATAACTTTTACCTTTTATTTTTTTTTTTTTCACTAATAAGGAGGCAGTATGTATAACAGTGTTTAAGAATGTAGGCTTTGGTTCTCAATCCACACCCCGCCACTTCCTAGCTGTGCAATGGTAAAAAATTCATTTGCATATGACTGTTTTTGTCAGGATCTTCTGCAAGGGCCAGGTGTCCACAGGCACCTTCCTAGAGAGCTTTGGGGTGGCGGACCTGATCACCACCTGCTACGGGGGGCAGAACCGCAGGGTGCATGAGGTATCTGCCAGAATTGGGAAGACCATTGAAGAATTAGAGAAGGACATGCTGAACTGGCAGAAGCTCCATAGACCTCAGACTTCCACTGAAGTGTACCACATTCTCAAGCAGAAGGGACTGGTGAACAAGTTTCTATTGTTTACTGTAGTATATCATATCTGCTATAAAGGCACACCCATTCAAGAGACGTTGTCTCCAGTTATCCTGAACATATAATAAAGTGAATCATGCAGTGTGTTGGGGAAAATTCTGCCTTTCTGCTCAATCTTTTGGATTCATATGGAAACCAGGACCTGGCAACATGATGTTTGCTTGACTGTAATCCCATCATGGATATGTATGAATTTTGATAGGTTCATTTTTTAATTGTGAGAGGTAGTTCGTTGGCTAAGATGTAATGGGCAACAACTAAACACATGTGAAGGTGTGTGTGTTTATTTCTCATTCTATGTATGTTTCTACGAACCAAAATTAAATGCTCTTTTTAAAAACTGCTTTTGAAATCTTTCTACTATGGTAGTTTATAAGATTAGAACTAGCTCAGCTAAATTTGTTAGATATAATTCATATGTATATGAATGGAATTTTTTTTCATTCTTTTGATGCTGAAATTTAACCAGCAATAACATGGTAGGTAGAGTGGAAGACTGAATGTATTCAAAGATCAACAGATTTAACTTTTAAACACTATCTCAAAGCCAGCATAATTAACTACTTTATGGATTGATCTTTTTTTAGCAATTTGATATTTTAAATTAGATAATCCACTTACATATTTTCTTCTCACTGCAAATTTTCTGCATTTTTTAGCCTTTTTTCTCTTCATTAGCTGCTAGAATGTGTTTCTATAAAGGCTCAGCAACAACAGAAGACAGAAAGCTCATTTGGGATTTTTCTGCTATGACTGGCACATTCTTCTGATTAACAGACACTTGTATGATGCTTTTGGTTAGTACTTTTTTGCACACATTTGTCTTAAGCCTCACAGATCCTCTGAGAGGGGCTACTATAATATCCTCTTGTGAGATGCAGTCGCTCTGCCTTGTCACCTGGTGAGCAGGGACAGAGCAAGGAGTCAAGTGTAGCCCCAAGGTACAAGAAGTCACTGGACTGATTTGACCTCCAGCCAACTGGCTGTGGCAAACACTGTGTACAGCCTTTCCTGAGGCCACAGAAGGGCTTCCTGCAGCTGTGATATGGCCGTTGCACTCCAGGCTGGGTGAAAGTGCAAGACCCTATCTCTAAAAAAATTTTTAAATAAAAAGTAACTGTTTGCAGCTGACAAGTCAAACAGAAATTGAGGGAAGAAGACAGGAGGCAGTTAAGTACTTTACAAAAGATAGTTTACATGGAATAGGAAAGATATAAATTAGACTGCAGAAGGTCAAAGATAATCAAATAAGGGACTGGAAAGAAGAACCTAGAAAATCAACAAATATTTTGTCAACAGTGGACTCAAACGAGGGTAAAAAATACAAATCTTCAAGAATGACTCATGGTAACTTTTCATTGTAGTTCTGATGAACTACTGTAATAGACACTTAGTTTTAGCACCTACTCATCAAGCAATCCACTTTCTGAAATAACAGCTACTTTGCTCTTCTTTAGGCAACCAACACATTACTCTGTAGTGGTCTGAATGAGACTGATTCTACCCACGAGGTTCCCAGATGGGCACATGATTCGCATAGGCCAATCACAACCAAGCATTATTCCCAGGCCTTTTGCTGGAACCACTGGAAAAAGAAGCTGTCCATTTCCATGGCAGTCACTAAGCTATGAAGACATGAGACTGACTGTAGGTACAACAATCACACTATCTAAAAGTGAAGCCAAACAGAAGAAAGTTATATAAAAAAACGGGGACAGAGAGATTGCTAATGAAAGCATTTGGACCATGGAAGTCAGCCTTACCCAATTTGAGCTGTAATCCTATGCCAACAAGTATCTCATTAAGTTTATGCCAGTTTGCTTTAGGCTACTATCACTTAAAACTGAATACTGATTAATATAACTACTGAACTATTGTTTTTAAAGTGTTCTTGGTTCACAGACCTCCTGAATGCCTGCCAGAAAGTTACAAGATAGATGCAGCTAGTAAAGATGACCATGGGGAGGAAAGCAGAAGAGAAACAAGAAAAGTTGTTTTTTATTTTTTATGAGGAGGGTCAAAAATGATAGTAATTGGCAAACATTTTAATATCCATAGTTCCAAATATTCATGTGACATTTTAAGAAAACAGTTACTAAATAAACCTTGAAATGTAGAAATATATCAATATACATTTCCCTATGCACAGAATTTATATGTAATGCCATATAATCTTTTAAAATAGGTATTCTCAGCAAGCAGGTAACAGTGGGTTTTAAGAGCCTATACTATATAAATATTACACAGAAATTCCATTTTGCAGATACAGTATCCACCAAACTGTTGCCCTTACTAGAGAAGAAAATAACTTATATTCTATTTTTACTGAGAATTCATAACTCAAGTTTTTTACTATAAGGCCATAAAACTAAATTGGTGATTACTTGTACTACATAATAGCACAGCATAACTATTTATGGTTTGTTAGCATTAAATTGACCTAAAAGATTAAAGGGGGAAAAAAACTTGAATAATTTACTTACATCACAACTACTACCAAATACTCCATTAGAAAATGAAATCAAGTTATAGGATTTGTCACCCCAGCGTACTGTTGGATCTCCAATAAGGGCCATTGCAGTTATCTAAAATAAATTTAATTTTTCCAAATTAAAATGATTTTTAACATTGGTTTGGAAGTATTTACATCTTAAACACACACACACACACACACACACATATATATATATATCACCTTTCTTGTGCAGGTGAACCAAATTTAATAAAATGATAATATTGTTATACTCAAGAGATAGTAATTCTGGCCCTGACTTTAGCTGTTTCTCAAAATCTCAAGTTAAGAAAATCCTACTACTAATAGGAAAGAGAATGCTGGTATAATAGTCATGAATGTGTAGAAAACATACAAATGAAAGAACAAAACTTTTGTAACTTGAATAATATAAGAGATCTTGATAAGTACATTAAAGTCTAGTTAGGAGGAGAATATTTTAAGAATTCATATCCCACTAAACTTGTTTTTCAAACTATAGGTTTTGGCCCATTAGTGAGTCATAAAATTAATTAGTGCATCATAATCAATATTCTTTACCAAAAAATTAGAATAGGAATATCATAGTATATCACAGATAGTAATTACTGATTTGTGAAACTTCTTTTATATATATGTATACAAGCATGCACATGTGTGTATATATAGTGGGCTGCAATTTAAATGTATTTGTAACTACAGATAATGGTCAAAATGGTTTGAACAACACTGCATTAAAACATGTTCTTCCTTAAGAAGTTTGGTGATTCTCTTCCAAAAAAAGTTTTATAGTTACAAGGCTTTTCAATATATACATAATGAGTGAGATGTGCACCATCTGGGCGATGGTCATGCTGGAAACTCAGACTTGTGAGGGGAGGGGGGGAAAGGGCATTTATTGAAACCTTAAAATCTGTACCCCCATAATATGCCTAAATAAATAAACAAATAAAAAATTTAAAAAATTATCCTGGATGATTTTTTCTTATTATTTAATATTGATGAATGCATTATAAAACAATTTAAGGGTTTCCAAAAGACTATGAGACTTCTACTAATACAATTACTACCTTTTTTTAATTTCCCAGGAAAGGAAATAATATCACCCCCGGGGTCGGGGGAAACACAAAGTAAGGCCACATTTACCCTAAACTCACTGAAGTCAGTGTGGTCGATAAAATCAAATGATATAATAAATTACTTTCTAGGGTGATACAATTCGGGTAGACCATCCCAACTAAGGTGTCAAGATACACTAGTGTGTGTTACAGTAGATTCTCATGTCACCTTTGGCAAGAAAAGTTAATTTAACTCAGTGTTCTGTACAAATTTTCTATGTAGGCTGTCAATGAAAAGGTTGAGAAACTCTGGCATGGGATATGCAAACAACGGTTATATTTCTTTAAACAAAGTAAAATATATATCTAAACAATCCTAAATAATGTAGCAAGGATTTACAAAGCACTATTTATGTCTAAGCTTCAATTTAGTACATGTATATTTCATAAGTAAAAGTTTTAGGAGTCTGACTATAAAAAACGAAAAAAAAAATCTCATGTTCATTAACATAAGAGTCCTCCAGCAATTTACGAGAAAAAAAACAGAACAAGGTAATTGAGTACCTGAGAATAATCTTCTGGTGTTACATATGGACTGCTATCCTCTATGGAATATACCAGTAAACTGCTCTGAATTTTTTCTAATGAAATGAGGTTCTCTGGATCAAGACTAATCAGATACTCTCGTGCCTAAAGGGCAAGAAGATAATGATTATGTTACAATTTAAATACAATATATCTGGAAAAATCTCAAAAAGAGTTTGTTAGAGAAAAGATTCATTAAGAAAAGTGTAAATCATAACCTTAGCCCACCGAGTTCGCTCCTCGCTAGTTAATGCTGCTATCCCAGGTCCATCAGGTTCACTATGGCACTTCTTGTGGATGTATGTCAACTGTCTTATGAAAGATTAAAGAAAGAGGATTCAAAGAGTGCATAGGCAGATAGGAGCTACCTTTGACTTTAACAGGTCATAACCTTGATCAGTATTTAAATGTTTTGATATATACCCTAAATAAACAACAGCAATAGATTTCCTACATCACACCTTCTTTTTTTTTTTTTTTTTTTTCGAGAACAGGATCTCGCTTTGTTGCCTAGGTTAGAGTGAGTGCCATGGCGTCAGCCTAGCTCACAGCAACCTCAATCTCCTGGCTCAAGCAATCCTTCTGCCTCAGCCTCCCGAGTAGCTGGGACTACAGGCATGCGCCACCATGCCCGGCTAATTTTTATATATATATATTAGTTGGCCAATTAATTTCTTTCTATTTTTATAGTAGAGACGGGGTCTCGCTCTTGTTCAGGCTGGTTTCGAACTCCTGACCTCGAGCAATCCGCCCGCCTCGGCCTCCCAGAGAGCTAGGATTACAGGCGTGAGCCACCACGCCCGGCCCACACCTTCTTTTTAGAAAGATGATTATGTGTTTTATTAACACGAAAAGTATATCTGACAATAACTTAAGTAAATAAATTTGGGTTTTGCTGATATTTATTTCTACTTTGAAAATGTGCATGCACTTCCAGATTCCAAGTAAATACCCTTTACAATGGAAAACTTGAAAAATATCCTGGTAATCAATCTCACAAATATTATGTACATCATATCTAACTAAAAATTATATGCATATATACTTAATGAGAGGACTTTCTGTGTACTCAATGTTTTACCCAAAAAACAGAAGTACCATGTATTAAATGTTTTCACATGTGCCTTTTTTTTTTTACTTCTAACCATTATATTTGAAAGACTCTATTAGCCGAGGATGAACTATTGCCTCCCATATTATTCTATGCTCCCAGTCTGATGAGTTTCATGTCTCTTTAAACATACAATAGGTAAATAGTAGTGTTCTTCCATAAAGAAATAAATTTTCATCAGTCAAAAATCCAAAGAGCTTTAGTTTTAGCCCTACTTATTCATGGCACATGCTAAGAAGTTACTTCAATTGAAAGCTTCCAAAGATTCCTTGGAAAGCAAACTAAGGTAGCTTAATAAATGGTCGAAAAACACCATTAGTAGCCATCCCTTATTTGGGGTTTCATCATTCAAACTTGGAAAAAATAGCTATCAATTTGCGTAATTTCATGCTATTTGTTAATTATATCTACAACACTGATGAAAAAATTTCCTTGCTGCAAAATCACTCCCTTCTATTAATGGTGTTCTGAGGAGATGAGGGATTCTTCACCAAACAATCTATACCTGTGGTGGGAACAACTTGCTTTGCCTCTTCTCTTCCTCCTTGTCTTTGCTAAGTACTGATTTTGCTCCAGTTATGAAGCCTCTGCAGTTTTTGGCTACTTGGTGGGCATAGTAACTAGCACAAATTCTGAATTTCTAAATAAAATCTACCTCACTGTTTCTCCATAAGCTACTTGTTGCTACCCTTTCCTTACCATCTCCAAGCACCAGTTTTGACTATGAAACCTCTCCCTGCACCCTGAAATGGCCACCTTCATACTCATTTTACAAAGTGGTCACTATTAGGGAAAAATTACAAGGGAAAATGTGTTAAACCTGAAATGACATTTTAAGTCTGATAGTAAAAGATGACATAATGCCCAAACCTTCAGTAAGAGGAACAGATAGGGTAACTAGCATAATCCTTTTTTTCCTTTAACTCAGCTATCAATGCACCTGGTTTTTTGGCTATACATTCAACTTTTTATACTTCAAAACACAACGATCTATATTAAAAAATATCTGCATTACAGAATCTTACATCTTTTAAAATATTCTACACTTGATGTCTGCACACAATCTAGTTTCTACCTTCATTACTTCCCATTCACTCTTTACTATAATCTGGTTTTGTCCTCCAGTGATTATCCTGAAACTGCTTTTCTGAAAGTCACCAGTAACATCACATAAAAGAAACTTAGCAGCTTTATCTCAGTCTTATTTTCCTCATCATAGAAAGTTTGACACCCAGGTATAAATCTTCTTAAAATTATCTCTTCTGCCTTGACTTTTTTGCACTGTTCCATTGTGGTCTCACTACCTCACTGACCACTCAGTCTTTTTCATTGACTATTTGTCCTTCTTCCACTGCCAAATGTGTCTTTCCCCAAATTTTTTTCACTGGCCTCCTTTAACTCCTCTTACAAGTTTCTCCCTTGCTAATCTCACCCACTTCTTTAATAGCTTTATCACTTTTTTTTTTGTATCATTAACTTTATCCCAGACCTTTAAGATCATATTAGGTTACTGAACATGAAATGTCTGACCTCAAATAAACTGGACATTTCCTACCCAATAACCCAACAAATATGGGATCTTGTCCCATTTACCTGATCTTTGACAAAATAATTCCAGTTATGAGACAGTATAATTCAAGATTTCATTTAATAGCCACTATTCTTCATGCTCCCAGCACATACACTGGATTATAATAAAATCATTCTCTTTAGACATAAGTTCATAGCTATAAGTTGACCATTCAGCCAAAATTTTTCCCAAGGTCTTTAGATGGAACTTTCTTAGGTTGCTACAAAACTTTACAAACAAACAGACAGACAATACAGAGAATCCCCAACACAAAATGCCAAGACTGTCAAACAAATGGGAATCCAAAGGGTTCAGATGCCACCCCAAAATGCCCTGCTGGAAGGTTCAAGATCCTCCCTAAATGGTGGCTTAGTCACCCCATTCCCTGGAAACTACAAATGAGCTCCAAATTCAAACCAGGTTTCCCTACTTCCACTCAACCTCACAATTTCACCCCACAAATGGCACAGCTCCAAACCCACAGGATGATGTCAAAACCTCCCAAATGGGTGAATTCAGGGTTTTAGGGTGCACCCCAGGGATCTTACCAAACAAACAAATGGCATGGCATCTGGACATCTCCCAAATCTGTTTCCTTTCCCTCAACTCAGCTCAGGTTGGTTGGGGTTGCATCCATTCAGGGAGAAAGAGACAGGACTTCCCTGGAGCTAAACAAGCCCCAGAAACTGCTGGGAGAATCCCTTTCTTTCTTACCCAAAAAGGCAACACTCCTTCCCATAGCTTGACCCAGAGCTGCTCCCTGCCTCTCCCAGCAGTCGCAGGGTGCCAACGGGCCTACCCAAGGACACCAAATCTGTTACCGAAAGCTTGTCACTTGTCTTCGAAGCCACATCAGAAGAAAGAAGACAAGTGGTTTAAGGAGAAGGAATGAGGAGTTTATTAATTTGCCTGCAAATGAGGAGAGTGGAGACTCCTGTCTGAAATGCCATAGTCCTTAACTATTACCTTTATGTAAGAGACAACCAAATGTCTAACTTCACCCCATTTTCTCTCTAAATCTCTGTTACCAAAGTTCCAAATGCTTGTTGTATATCTCTACCTCAATTTCCGCCAACATTTCAAACTAAGTGTAATTTTAAATATTATCTTCCCCCTTCTCACAATTTTTTTTAAAAGAGTCTTAGATGAAAATGAAAGTATAAATCATAACATCCCTGGATTAGGCAATGGTTTCTTAGATAGGACACCAAAAGCACATGTAACTAAAGAATAAAATTGATGAAACTATACTTTGTCAAAATAAAAACTTTTGTGCTACAAAGGAGGCCATCAAGAAACTGAAATAACAACCCCAGAATGGGAGATATAATTTGCAAATTACATATCTGATAAAGGATTTCTACCTAGAATATATAAAGAGCTCTTACAACACAATAAAAAGACAGCTCAATTTAAAACTGGGCAATGTATTTGATTAGCCATTTCTCCAAGGAAGATATATACATATGGCCAAAAAGAATATAAAAAAATATTTAACATCACTATCAAATATAAACTACAATGAGATCCCACTTCACCCTTACTAGGGTGGCTATAATAAAAAAGGCAAACAATACATATTAGTGAAGATGTGGAGAAACTGGAACCCTTATACACTGCTGATGGGAATGTAAAATTGTGCAGCTATTTTGGAAAATAAGTCTGGTAGTTTCTCAAATGGTTAAACAGTTACCATATGACCCACCAATTCCACTCCTAAAATATACCCAAGAGAAATGGAAACATGTCCATAAAAGAACATGTACACAATGTTCATGGCGGCACTAATCGTAATAGACAAAAAGTGGAAACAACCCAAATATTCAACTGATGAATGGTTAAATAAAATGTGGTATATCCATACAATAGAATATTATTCAGCCATAAAAAGAAATAAAATACCCACACATGCTAAACCATGGCTGAACCTTGAAAAATTATGCTAAGTAAAAGAAGCCAGACACAAATGGCCACATGTTGTAAAATGCCACTTATATAAAATGTATAGAACAGGCAAATTTATAAAAAAGAAAGATTGGTGGTTGCCTAGGACTGGTGGAATAAGAATGTTTGGGAGATGTGTGAAGTGAATGGGTAGAGAATTGGGGAACAATGAGGAGTGACTGTTTATGCAGGCGTCCTCAAACTATGGCCCACGGGCCACATGCGGCCTGCCAAGGAATTTATCCAGCCTGCCAGGTGTTTTTGCCACCGCTGCCTGTCTTGCTTAGCAGCTGACTCGTCCCAGGCCCACAGTGCGCACGTGTGGAATGTGCGCCGCACTCTCCAATGGCCCTCCAACAGTCTGAGGGACAGTGAACTGGCCCCCTGTTTAAAAAGTTTGAGGACCCCTGGATGGGTACAGGGTTACTTTTGAAGGTGACAAAAATGTTCTAAAATTGATTATGGTGATGATTGCACAATTCTGTGAAAATACTAAAAAATACACTGAATTGTACATTTTCAATGGATGTACAATTGGATGGCTGGGCATGGTTGCTCATTCCTGTAATCCCAGCACTTTGGGAGGCCAAGGCAGGAGGATTGCTTGAGGCCAGGAGTTCAAGACAAGTGTGGGCAACATAGTAAAACTCCATCTCCACAAATAAGTAAATAAAAATATATAAATAGGCCAGGAGCGGTGGCTCAAGCCTGTAATCCTAGCTCTCTGGGAGGCCGAGGCCGGCGGATTGCTCGAGGTCAGGAGTTCGAGACCAGCCTGAGCAAGAGCGAGACCCCGTCTCTACTATAAATAGAAAGAAATTAATTGGCCAGCTAATATATATAGAAAAAACTAGCCGGGCATGGTGGCGCATGCCTGTAGTCCCAGCTACTTGGGAGGCTGAGGCAGGAGGATCCCTTGAGCCCAGGAGTTTGAGGTTGCTGTGAGCTAGGCTGACGCCATGGCACTCACTCTAGCCTGGCAACAAAGTGAGACTCTGTCTCAAAAAAAAAAAAAAAAAATATATATATATATATATATATACACATATATATATATATATATATATATATAGGGAAATGGTACAGTATGTGAGTCATATATCAATAAAGCTGTGACTAAAAACAAGAAAAAAAGAATTGAAATGGTTCTACCTCTCCTTTTGCCTCCTCCTGTTATAGTACCATCAGCCTATCCATGCAAGTTGAAAAACCTCAGTCATATTTAACTCCTTCTTTTCTAAATCCAGCCACCAATTCTTATTATTTTTATCTCCAAAACATTTCCTGCATTTGTCTCTTCTTCTAAAATACCTATCTCTTACTTCATAACTGAATTACTGCAGTTTTTAATATCTCTTTTGAGGCTCCAATTCACTAAGGTTCAGAATCTGACCAATCTGTCTTCTAATATGTATCATGTTTGTAGAGAAAAATTCATACTGCACAGGTGATCTGGCCTGATCACCTAATTCATATACACATACATTTTAAATACAAACACATACACACACACACACACACAAAATGAAATCCTACTATGGTGCTAAGCACTGTATTAAGCAGTGAGGAATTAAAAAAACAAAAAGACCTGGTAACTAATCTCTTACGAGCTCCAGCTGCATGTGAAAACAGAAATGATTTCAATACAATATTATAATCAATATAACAGAGATAAATATAATGGGTTACAACATATACAAAAACCCTAAAGGGGGTTAACTCATTGGAGTTTGGGCTGAGGAAAGGGAAAAGGAAATTAGAAAATAGCTGACGTTGTAGTTAACATGTGAACAGAGACATACAGCATGAGTAAGAATTCACCAGGTAGACAGGCAGGAGAGGGTACTCCAAATAAAAAGCATGAGTATGTGTACTCAGGAAGTACACATCAGGAAGAAATCAGGAGATAGTCTGACCAGGATTGCTAGCGGAGCAATGGGGTAGAAGTATAGGATGCACAAAGAAGCCGCCAAAGTGATAGGCAAAGGTCAAATATAGACTACTGCTAAGGAATTTGGACCTTATCTTAGACTACAAAGAACCATCTAAGAATTATAAGATAGGATATATTTAAGTTTGAATTTCAAAACCATAAGACTGATGACAATCTGGAGGATGTGTGGAGACAAGAAAACCATTACGAAGTTTGAGTTAACAGTCCAAGCAGAGAGAATGAAAAGCTGACCAAAGACAATGGAGGTGGGGAAGATGGAAAGCATTTGAGAAATCTTTAAGAAGTAAAATAGAGAAGGCTTTGTTTCTGATTAAGGTGGGAAATGCTGAGGGTCACTCCAGTAAGTTCTCAGACAGACACTTGTACCACAGAGGAAGATAAAAATATAAGAGGAAAGAAACAGATGGGAAAAGAACCTCCCAATACCATGTTCACAATGGAAGTTACTGTTACTCCTCTTTTGAAAGAGATAAGGAAATAGAGAAATATTAATATTTTTCTATTAAAACTAAGCAACTACAAAAATGAACCAGTGTAACCGAAATAATAAGTAGAGTTAATATATGGCCTCAGTGTAGCAAGTGCTAAGTCTGGGGGCAAGCTGAAAGAAGAACATGTAGTCTGAAATGGACAACTTTTAGACTCCCCAGATCCAGACCATTGTTGCCATGCCAGAATGCAGCCTGGTGGTGTTAGAACTTTTGATTTATTTTTTTAAAGAGATTTTTCACAGATTTCACAGATTCACCAATTTTTATGTGAATTCTCTTGATTTAAAAAAATAATGTTTCAAATTCTATTATCCAAGCAAAACAGGTCATAGGCTGAATTTAGCCTATGCAGCATATGTATTCAATTTCTGGAAGAGTGGCTTTGAGTAATCTAATTAATAAGCCTGATCTAAAAATTACATGTCAAATTTAAAACAAATTTTAATATACAGCTGAAAGATGTACGAATATTATCTAAGACAACAGGAAAGGATTTAAAAGATAAATTTGCCTACATCAAAATTAACAATGTACAATTTCCAAATTTTTTTAATTAGAGGAAAATGTTTTCAACACATATAATCAATAAAGGATTAGTGTAGAGATCATATCAACAAGTGTTATAAATCAATAAGAAAAACATAAAATAGCCAATAGAAAAATATGCCAAAGCAACTCACACAAAATACAAATGGGTTATAAACACATACACAAATGCTCAACCTCACTAGTAATGAGGGATATGCAAATTTAAATAATGAAAACCATTTTTCAAGTGTCAGTTCACTAGATATGTTTTAAGTTCAATTAACACCACGTCAACAAAAATGTGGAGAAGTGGGTGTCTTTATACTATACTGGCAGAAAAAATAATGCCACTTTGGATGACAATTTGACTTAGTTAAAAATTTTAAATGTATATTCTTAATGACCCAGAAATTTCACTTCCAATAGCAAACCACAGATATTTTCTCCAAATATACAGAGGCATGTTTGACAATGTTTGTTGTTATAGCAACAAATGGAAACAACTTCAATGTGTACTGATAGAGAAATGATCAAATAAACTACAGAATGTCCATCTGATGGAACTCTATAAGTTAAAAAGAATAAGGTAGATGTACCTGCACCATATGAAAATATCTGTCTTATTATTGACTAAAAGTTTAGAAAAATACCTAAAACAGGCCTGGCACAGTTGCTCACACCTGTAATTCTAGCACTTTGGGAGGTTAAGGCAGAAGGATCATTTGAGCCCAGGAGTTCAAGACCAACCTGGGCAACAGTGAGACCTCCCCACCCGTCTCAACAAAAAATAAAAAAAATTAGCCAGGTGTGGTAGTACGCACCTATAGTCTCAGCTACTTGGGAGGCTGAGGTAAGGGATCGCTGAAGCCTAGGAGTTGGAGGCTACAGTGAGCTATGATGATGCAACTGTACTCTTGTTGGGCAACAGAGCAAGACCCTGTCTCAAAAAAACCCCAAAACCCTAAAATACCACCACTTTTTTAATGTACAACTAGTCCTAACTCGTGCTACATGCAAAAATCAATTTTAGAAAGGCAAAACAAAATTCTGGAACATAAGAAAATATCTTCTTGGCACTGGGTTAGGGAAAATTTTTTAAAACAGAACACAAAAAGTACAATCCATAAGGTAAAAGATCAATAAACTGGATTACATTCAAATTAAAAACTTCTGTTCATCAACCAGATGCCTTTGATAGAATGAAAGGGCAATTAGAAACATCTCCAATTCTGTGTACTGAAACACACATTACCAAGAAAAAGCTCTTACCCAGAATGTATGCAGAACTACAACACTCATACACTAGTGGAAGCACTTATTAGTACAACTACTTTGGAAAACTGGCGTTATCTATTGAAATTGACCATACACATACCTTATAACCCAGCAAATCCTCTCTTGGGCATAAGCCAGATAGAAATGCATGCACATGTGCACTAAAAGACTTGTACATGGATTTTCAGTGCACCTTTTTCATAATAAAAATTATAAACAACTGAAATGATTACCCTTGGGAAGGAGTGAAAGAACAGAAGAGGCATAAGAGGGGACTTCTAGAATAGTAGAAATATTTTATTTTTTGACTGGGGTGGTGGTTATGTGAGTATTTAGCTGTACACTTCTATGTGCACTTTTTTTTGTATATGTTTTCAATATTTAATAAAAATAATTTAAGTTATAAATAGATATATACAAGTTGATAATTATAAAATAATCTAGGAAATCATAACAATTGATTGCATATTAATGATATTAAAAAATTATTAATGTCTTAGAAGTCTGTAGGTATGATAATGGTACTATATATTTTTTAAGAGTCCTTATATTTTAGAGATATTATACATACTAAAATATTTACAGTCAAAGGATATTATGTATGAGATTTGCTTCAAAATATCCATGGGGGAGTGAGGGGAGGGGCACAAGAGGTATACTTGAAATAACACTGACTATGAGTTAGTAACTACTAAAACTAGTAGTTGGTAACTGTTGAAGCTAGAGGATGGGTACATAGGGGCTCTTCATTATATAATTCCTTGTACATTTTGAATTTTTCATAATATACTTTAAATATATATATTCAAAATAATAAATACCATATGTACACATACATATAAGAATACATACTAAAAACATACATTTTTTTTAAAGCTATATGTGCATGTAAACTGACTGCAAAAGATCTGAAAATGTGGAACACAACCAAACTACTAACAGTTCTGGGAGGGCATGGAATTGGTAATAACTGTAATGTTTTCCTTTTCTCCAAGCAGAACATATTCAGATATATCTAGTAAAACTGAAAATTAATTTAAATTAAAAATAAAATACAAATATATTTTTTAAAATAAGCATGTATAAAATTCTTATTTTTCAGCTTATTGTCCTCTTATAGAAAGGCAATCCTAAACATTTATATTTTAACTCAAGCAAAAGCTTAAGACCTAATGAGACTGAAAATGTAGTGTGAAAACCTGAGAAGCTCTGGTGGGGTCATCAAACATCCTTCATGTATTACATCAAAGACAAAAACTCGGCCTCGACACAGCACTGCAATGTGATTTGGGGAACGGCCTTCACTCTCTGGAAAAAGAAAACAAGACTTAAATCTCCCAAAGATAAACAGGAGTAAGGTTGCATACATCCAACAGAAAAAAATAATCATTCCTCCAAAATTTTATCATATATTCATCAAATATATCACATGAACAAAAACAAATTAAACTAATGGAATTTCAGTTACTATAATAAAAACACATACTCTTGAAACTTGTCCACTGTGAGACATTTGGAAATCCATGAGAGTTTCAAATATCTGTACACCCTGAGAATCATTTAAATCCCAAACTACTGCAGGGCTGTCTAGCTTTGACTGGGTATGACACTTGGAGACAAGAGGTGATTTATTTTTCTTTTAAGATGGGAGATACTATAGATTGGAATGATCCAGTAAAGAGAAAAAAACTATCAGCAGCAGAGAGGATAATACAGAAGCAAGGTCCTTGACTAGAAGTCATAACAGTTCATTTAATTTTAAAAAGGGATGGAAAAATATATGCATGTGCAATAATATATTGCAAGGGGATAGTAGAAAGGGCAAATATTTTAATAAGTATGTTTTCTATGGCTGCTATAACAAATTACCACTAACTTAGTGGCTTAAAACAACACAAATTTATTATCTTACAGGTCTGAGGCCCCAAAATCTGAGATGTGTCTTATTGGGCTAAAAGGAAAGTGTCAGCAGAGTTGTGTTCCTCCTAGAGGCTCTAGGAGAGAATATATTTTCTCCCTTTTTCCAGCTTTTAGAGGCTGCCCACATTCCTTGGCTTAGGACCCCATTCCTCCATCTTAAAAGCCATCAAGAGAACATGACAACTTCCTCATTGTGCCATCTCTTTGGTTGTCTTTTGCCTCACTCTTCCACTAAGAAGAGCCCTTGTGATTATATACTTTGGGGCCGTGGGAATAATCCAGGATAATGTCCCCATCTCAAGGTCAACTGATCAGCAACCTTAATTGCCCTTTGCCATGTAACCTAACATATTCACAGTTCCAAGGATTAGAAAGTGAACACCTTTAGGGGGCCATTATTCTGTCGACCACAGATAAGCTGGTAAATTTTGTGATGAAAAGATTGCTTATGTTTGTTGAGAATAAGAAAAGAGTTTGTTAGCTGAGAATAAGAAAGGAGAAAGGCATGAAATAGTCTTCTCTGGAAGTAAAAGAATAAGCTAAAGGAACATAACAAAATAGCGCTGTGGGTCCACTTGAGATTAACTGAGATCAGTAAGTGAAGTTTTATGGTTTTACTCTGGCCAAATAAATTACTAGGATAGGTAATCTTTGGTATGTAGAGGAAAGAGATTTAACTTTAAACAATGTTAAGCTTTTATCAGATTATTATTGGGGATGGGGGGGCAAAGATTTAATTGTGATTTAATCTAATGGTATTTCTCCCACCACACACACAAAAACCTCAATTGTTAAGGAAGAAGGGAAAACGAAAAGGGCAAAGGGGAACAAAGAGGATACCAACACCTCCCACAAACCCTGTAGTGCCATATAAAGGAAGAAGAAAACACTCCGTGAGATGGTTACAGAACTAATGAGCTTAAAGAATAATCAAGTTTCAGTAACAGTACCTTTTGGAGAAAAAGTTGAGAATATAATAGATTTTGCTGATCATGAGATCCAGAAGTACAGCAGAAAAGGTTGGGGAAGTGGTAAGGGTGGGTCAGAGCAGTGAGGAGCTTGGATTAAATGAGAATATGTACAAATCCCTAACTCTAGATGTCAATGCATGGATGCTGTGGGAAGCCTAAACTTTTTGGGCAAAATGAGGTAAACAGGGATGAAAGGCATGGCCATTCATCTTTTTCATACATATCTGGGCATTAAACTTTTTGCCATGAATAAACCAGTTTCTCTAATCCAGAGGTCCTCAAACTTTTTAAACAGGGGGCCAGTTCACTGTCCCTCAGACTATTGGAGGGCTGTTGGAGAGTGCGGGGCACATTCCACACATGTGCACTGTGGGCCCGGGACAAGCAAAAACACCCAGCGGATAAATGTCCTCAGCAGGCCGCATGTGGCCCTCGGGCTGTAGTTTGAGGATGCCTGCTCTAATCCCTTTAATTCTTTCACTTACAACATCAAGGTAAAAGTATGTGGGCTTGAGGGCATTATATATCTTAAGCATCTAAAGAGGTTTATAAAGAATTGAGTTTTGCATGAAAGTAAACTCATATTCCTCACACTATGAGCATGACTGGCTATAAATTTTCTTTTCTTTTAGAGACAGGGTCTTACTCTGTCACCCACGCTGGAGTGCAGTAGCATGATCACAGCTCACTGTAACTTTGAACACCTGGGTTCCAGTGATCCTCCTGCCTAAGCCTTCCCATTAACTAGGACAATAGGCACATGCTGCCATACCTGGCTAATTATTTTATTTTTATTTTTTGAATTTTTAAAATTTGTATTATTTATTTTTTGAGACAGAGTTTTTCTTTGTCACCCAGGCTAGAGTGCAGTGGCATCAGCCTAGCTCACAGCAATCTCAAAGTCCTGGGCTCAAGCTATCCTCCTCCCTCAGCCTCCCCAGTAGCTGAGACTATAGGCACTCACCACTAAGCCTGGCTAATTTTTTCTGTTTTTAGTAGCGATAGGGTCTAGCTCTTTTTCAGGCTGGTCATGAACTCCTGACCTCAAGTGACCCTCCTGCCTCAGCCTCCTAGAGTGCTAGGATTACAGCCTTGAGCCACCATGTCTGGCTACTTTTTTAATTTCATTTTTTGTAGAGATGGGGTCTCGCTATATTGCCCAGGCTGGTTTTGAACTCCTGACCTCAAACGATCCTACCACCTGGGTCTCCTGAAGTGCTGGGATTATAGGTATGAGCCATAACATACAGCCAAAATTTTTATATTACAGAAAATTTTATATAATAATCATTCTCACATATGACCTTTGGGTTTCTTGCACATGACCTTTCCACCAGAGTCAGCACCTGGCATTGCACCATTCTGACTCAGTTTCCCCAAACTAGAGCAGCCTCTCCCCAGCTCTGGAGAGAAAGGGGATCCAACCGCTTTGGACCTGGAGGGCCCTCTGTGGGTGGGGCCTTCAAGTGGACGCTTCCAGAGCACTTACCATAGAACCAGCAGTCGGGGGCTTTGACTGCTGAGTGGCCAGGGAGAGGAGTTCAGGGCTCTGTCAGAACTCACCCTGTTTCATGGGGAAGTCTAACTTAGATATCTTGTTTTTGCACATTTCCTCTAGTTTCTTCGTTCATAGCCCCTGTAGACTTTGTCACTTCTGAGGTAAATTAGTAAATTGACTTGGTATCCCCCATCTTGCTTCCCTAATCTACCATCAGGAGACAGCATCAGGGTTAAGAAAACTTTTTTTTTTTTTTTTTTTTTAACTAGGAGAAGCAAATCTGGAAGCCAAAACATAGGCTTAGTTTGTGTGTTGTCTCTGGGTTTGCTGCTCACATGCAACAGGGTATGAACTATCTGTCTGGTGGCCCCATTTTTGGTGGCCTGTGGGCAGGCTGGCCAGTCCAGGCTGCATGGTGCTGCCACTGCTTTTGAGCAGTCATGCCTGTGACCTGCAGCTCAGGGCCATGCTGTGGCTGGTGCCGCCGTGACACTGGCAGAGCCTGTGTGATGTGAATGCTGGCGGCCCACACCGTGGATGGAGAGAGGACCTTGGGGCCAGGAGCGGGTGGCTGTGGCCGGGAGACTCTCTTGCAGACCTCGCCCCTCCTGTGTTTGGCACCCTCCTGAGGGGATGCTCCCCCCTGGAAGTTGACAAGGGCGTGTTGAACACAGCCGACTCCCCATGCCTCCAACAAGGACCAGGGTCACCCTTAGCTCCTGCGGCTCTGCCCTGGAATTAGGAATGTTTTCCAAAGAGTAATAGTCTTTAGCTTTGGCAAAACTCTACTTAATCCAATAGGTTTTTCCCTGTACAAATTTTCCAAATGTAATAACCTTTAATATAATGTAAAAAAAAGGATACTCTTATAATTATACTCTGCATAATTATAAACTGGTATTAAATTCATAAAAAGCAAAAATTCCTGAAGTAACTGGAAATCAGCAGTTACCACAGAATTTTCCATTTCAAAATATGCTAGGACACCAAGCAAAAAGTGCCATTAAACTGCCAGTAAAAACAAAAATTCAATGAGTTGATTTGAAATGATGTGCCCCCAAAAACAGTGACTCCAGGCTTTCACCTCATATAAGGAAGAAAAAAAAAGCATACTCACAAAGGGAAATGGGGCATGATGAGCACATGTAAGTGAACACTCAAAAAGATAATTCGGATAAGGAATGAGAATAGCAAGAGAAACACTCAGATTACATGCTCTAGGATTTCCTTAATGCTGATTCATAATTCTTTTCTTCAACTAAATTTTAATTTCTCAAATGATACAATATAAGCATCAGGTTTGTGTTGAACCATGCAAAACATAGTTTAGAAAATCTATTCCCAGCCAGGAGCAGTAGGTTATGCCTGATGATGCTACTGTACTCTAGCCTGGCAATACAGACTGTCTCAAAAAAACAAATAAAATAAAATAAAAAATAATAATAATAAAAACCAAAAACTCCATTCCCATTAATTGCATATAAACTAATCAGAATTACTCAAGATCAGATTCACAGACTTTGATTTGTCAAAGCCCAAACAGAAACATTCTTTAAAATTATGTGTTACACACTGTCATAGTAGAAACCTACCCAAATTTGGGGAGCAAGAATACCCAAATTCCAATGCCTTCACTAAAAAATATACCCACATTTTTACTTACCAGTTCTAAAATAACTCATAATTGAATCTCTGGTAATTCCTGGAATCTTGCAAGTAGAAAACAGCATTCGGAATTGATTCATATCTAGAGGAGTATTTCCAACTTTATGAACAGGCACTTTTTCTCTATTTAAAAAAAAAAAAAGTATTTTGATCAAGGAATCATTATAAAACTTAAAAACCAAACAGTCACAACAGTGGTATCCATCCATTACTTATGGATAATTTACTTATCCATAAGTAAATTAAGCTTCTCAACATTTTGCCACTTCAGGTAAACCTATTATAATAAATTCACATAAGTGTCCGTACTTTCTTAATAGCTGCCAGTAGTTCAAGTTATGCCAAAGAATTATACTTCCTCTTTCTAATTGAGTGCCTTCCTTTGGAGGCCAGTAGTGTTCAAAATGGGCTGCAGGACCCGCAAAGTTGACATTCAGTTGTGATGGTATACGAACATCCAGATAGGCAACATTCAGCCACCACTCTTCTAGCTAAAAGAAATTGAGAACATCAGCTTAAAGTTCTTCATAATACTTGAATGTGTAACTGCTGGCAATAAAAGCAGCAACCTACATTCGTTAATTATTCTTCAAACATTTAAAAATAAGGCCAGGTGCACTGGCTTACGCTTATAATCCTAGCACTCTGGGAGGCTGAGGCCAGAAGATTGCTTGAGGTCAGGAGTTCAAGATCACCCTGAGCAACTGCAGGATCCTGTCTCTACTAAAAACAGAAAAATTAGCCAGGTGTTGTGGTATACTCTTGTAGGCACAGCAACTTGGCAGGCTGAGGCAAGAGAATCACTTGAGCCCAGGAGTTTGAGGTTGCAGTAAGCTATGATGATGCCACTGCACTCTAGCCTAAGTGACAGAGCAAGACTCTGTCTCTAAATAAATAAATAATTTAAAAATATGTTCTCTTGTTTAAATCATCATAGATATTGAAAAATGCTATTGTGATTTCTTTTTCTTTTCCTTTGGAACTGTAGGATCTTAGATATTATTGATACTTTGTTTAACTACACTATCAAAACATGAAACAGGACAGCACTGAAAGGCACCTTCAGACAGATCATCATATCAAAGTCATAAATACGACTTGTAAGCATGGTCTACACATCACCTACATCAGAACCAAAAATACCCAATGACGTACTTAGGTGTTTTCTCAGAGTATTTGAGGTATAATAGGTAGCCTATAAATCCTTACCTAATAATAGCAGTTATTAAAGCATTTAAAATTTCCTTTTCCAAACAAAAACTTTTCAGTAGGCTTAAAACTAATTTAGATTTTTCAGACACTGTTTTCCATGTGCCCCTCTTTTACAATATGCAACTGAATTTCATATGTGAGTAAGTACATCTTATCAAATTACCTGGACTTCTTTTTGAAGAAGTTGATGTTGTCAATTATAATTAGTAATTCAGAAAAAGACATAAGCAAAAAGGATACAAACAGAACAATTTCTGTATGTTTACCTCACTTTAAAATCACTCAAGGCTCAAAACTAAGAACAAAGGAATCTGGAGATATAAAATTTTATTATTCCATGATAGCAATGGCTTATGAAAAAAATCAGCTTCCTTTTTATTTCTAAAACTAAAAGATAGTTATAATTATTATTTCCAGACTAAGTCAATGCTTTTTAATTGTAAAAATTCATCCTCTGGTTCATGATAGCAAAGTACATAAGTGTTTGAGCTGAAGAATTCAAAGATTACTTGTGGAAAATTATTTAGACCTTCAATAATTATTATAGCAGCTTCTCTGTCAATCTATTTAACACAAAATATTCATAACCATTCTCCACTCCAATTTTTTAATGGCCCCTTTTCTCCCTTTTCTACAGTTTAAATATTTCTATGCCACATATGTGATGTGTATTTTAGTGGGTTTTTCTCAGGCTATAGTGATCTGGACAAAATGTTTCTCTTAAGCGTGCTCTACAAATCACCTCAACCAGAACCAAAGGGGGTGGTTGTTAAAATAAGGATTTTTTTTTTTTTTATGTTTTATTTTTTGCACTTAAACCATTACATGCTCACAGACCTACAATGCTAACTAAGAATTAGAGTGCTATTAGTTTTTCCACTTCAGCTTGTTATTTTCTATGACACTTCAGGAACCCAGCCAGCATTTTAAAATAAGGATTTCTAAGCCCCATTCTAGACATACTGCATCAGAATCAATGATCCCAGGAAATCTGGATTTTAACAAGTTCCCATATGGTAAGACAGGGACTCATGCACAACACTCAAAACTCCCCAGAGTTAAGTGATTCTTCTAAATGATGATAAAGACAATAATGACTGCAAAAAAATTTATAGCAATAATTTAAAAATGAAAGCTATGTACATTTTTACTTCTAATTCTTTAATCATCAATTTGTCAATCATAAGTATAATAACAAATACCCAATTTCTTTTTCCTTTTGCCTTTTCAAGTAATTTCTGGTGCAGTTTTTCTCCAATTCCATTTTGAAATTTTTGAACTATTTCATCAGTTTTCTTGTATTCTTCTTCATTTGCAAATGGCTTTACTATAAAGAAAAAATACATATTAAGGTATTTAGATATCAAGTACCACTAAGTCACTTCTATTACTATTATTACTTACACAAATCTTAAGAATCAGATAGGTAAAACACAGTAGTACTGTATTAAATATAACAGCAGTACAATCAATTACAATAGAGTTTACAACAAATGGTTGAAAAAATAATGAAAAACACTGTAAAAAATAAAACAATGGATATTATGTAATCTGATAACAGTTTCCTAAAAATTATTTTAAAATCATTCTAGATGACAGTTAAAATTATGGAGGCAAGACTGTTGTCTAACTATTAGTCTAGTGGAGAAGTAAATCCTGTTGAGCTACAATTAAGAGCAATTAAAGTAACTTTCAATTAATGTTCAAATCAGAGCCTTGAACATTATGTATGTAAATATAATATGTATGCAAATATAAATATTACTCAGTAGTACAGAGTGTCTCATGGACAATAATGGTTTCCTTCCAAAAAAAGAGGATACAAAGTCCCTAGTCTACAAAAAAGAAATTTTCTGAAAATTAAACTATAAAATAAATTAGAAATCAGGAGACATTAATATCTTTCTTTGATTTGTGCCTCTTCAAAATCTTGGCAATCTGTAAAAGTCAATTTAAATAGCCATATTCAGAGACAGTACAAGTGAATACTCAAAAAGAGTGAATAATCAGTGAATTAAAAAAAAGAAATTAGAATTCTCAGATGAAAGTACATGAGAGAAAACAGGAGAAAAAGAAAAAATATATATCAAAGGGCTCCAGTTAAACAAAATGAATCAAACATACAGATTTATCTCCATTCCTTCTAAACCCACTAAAATGACAGTAAAGAATAAAAAAGGCAAAAATCCACAAGGACAAAGAAAATGAAAGAAAAGAGGACAGAAGACAAGTTAAGCTAGTATTTTACAAATTAGAAAACAGAGGAAAATGCTGACTGGCTCTGTAGAATAAAGTTAATATATAAAACCTGGGGAGTGGAATGTGGTGGGAGATAAGGATAGGGTTAGGTGCAGATTAAGTAGCAAACCAACTCCTGCGGTAGAATCCAAGAAAGGTTCAAGAATTCAAGATACATGGTACCTCTAAAGACAGGGGAATTGCTTCAAAATCTCCAAAAGCAGCAATTGGGCAACCACCTCATTCACACTGCCCCTTGTAGATTTGCTCTACTCTATAAAGCCAGGCAATTTCTTCCCACTGCCAACAAAAAGCAGAAAGTTTACTCACAGGAGAAGTTGAACCAGACAAGACAGAACACATGGACTCCAGACCATACTGAAAAAAGGTGGATTACAATAAAAGTGTACACCCTAAATGAGGAGCCCTCCAGCTCCCTACCCCCACTCAACTCCCAAAACACTGACTTATGCACCCCTCTAGTCAAGACATAAGAGGATTCCTATTTGGGGAACCTGCTCAGTTCAAGAGAAAGGGGCGCTGTATTTGGGTATGCCCTAATGGAATCGCTATGTCTCGGCCCTATTACTCAACAATAAGGCCCACTAGTTCCCAGGTCCTACCCATGCACACAGACTTCCTAGTCAGTTTTTTAGAGTCTCCTTAACAAATTAACTGCCATGTGAGTTGTATTTAACTCACGCTAGTTTTGAGGCCGGTGCCTTATAACTCACGCTAGTTTGAGGCCGCAGCATATGTAACTCACACATCTCTACCTTGGAAGGCACATGAAGTATTTTTCAAGTTGCATATAACTCACAGAAAATTATAAAAAAAAATTTTCCCATTAAATTAGAAAGGATCGTTTTCTTTTCAAAGTGTTTATTCTATTTTTGTAATAAAACACTGTGGCCCCAAGGAAAAAAAATTTTTTTCTAGTGTGACAGTCAATGTGTTAAATAACTAAGGATTGCCAGGGATTTGAGGATAGCCTTTCACACACAATCAGAGAACAAACAAACAGATTGGTGATATCAAAGAGTAAACAGACCAAAAAGGAAAGACACTAATAATGAAAGGGAAGAAAATGTTTTAATTAAAAGCTTGAACCAAAAGGACTCAGTCCCTAAAGGAGAGAGCAAAGAACGGAGGAGAAAACTATCAAACATTTTTTTTAAATTCCCTAGAACTGAAGAGCACAACTTTAAAAAAATAAAAGAACCCATTGAGTGCTCAGAGAAATGAATGAAAAAAAGCTACACACCAAGGGACATCACTGAGAAATTCAGAATGCTAGTGATAAAGACAAAGGATTAAAGTAAAAAATAGGTCACATATAAAGCATCAAAAATCAGAGTGACATCAGACTTCTCAAGAGTAATAAGCAACACCTTCAAAACTCTTTAGAAAAATAATTTCCATCTCAGAATTCTATACTTAGCTAAACAATCAAGTAAATATATTTTTAGGTTTTACATTTCTTTTTCTCTCAAACATCCTTTTTCACGTTACTACTGAAGATGTATCAAAATAAGGGAGTAAACCAAAAAAGAGGAAAGCACCAATTTCAGGAAGCAGAGATTTCAACCTAAGAGAGAAAGTGGTGGAAAGAACTGCCAGAATGATGGCAAATCAAAGCCCCAGGATAACAGCTGTCCAGGAAGCTCCAGAAAAGGTATTTATCTGATTAGAGGAGGATCACAGAGCTCCAGGATGTCTCCAAGAAGAAAAGAAACTGACAGAATATCTTACATATTTAAATATATTCAGGGGTTTTCAGTGTATTGAAGTTTTGGGGAATGAACTATTTATGAAAACAAAGCAAATGAAAAATGAGGGGAAAAAATGCAGCAAAAACGTAATCAAAGTACAATGCATGATTCACTGGTGAGTAACTGCATAATCATAAACCCTGAATGGTCAGGTTAATTAAGTCAGGTAAATAATTAAAATCAGGTGGCTACTGATTTAATCCCAAATGGTGATTTTGTACAACTTTATTGAGAGAATGAGAGGGAAAATGTGAGTATGCTAGAATTTATTTATGTTGCGGGCAGAGAGGGTTAGGGGGTGTAAGAGAGCTACATCTACATCTTTTTAGGAATTTATAATATCTACAACTAAAAGACCCAATAAGAAGTAATATAAGAACATTGGTGTGTTCCTATCTTCCTGTCTACCTCTTACTTCCTCCACCCCAGAAACAGCAAGACCAATCTCTCTTCTGACTCTTCCATCTACTCAATGTGAAGATGAAGATAAAGACTTTTATGATGATCCACTTGCGCTTAATAGCAAATATATTCTCTTCCGTATAATTTGAATAACATTTTTTCTCTAGCTTATTTTATTGTAAGAATACAGTATATAACATATAAAATATGTGTTAATCAACTGTTTATATTATCAGTAAGGTTTCCAGTCAACAGTAGGCTATTAGTACAGTTTTCAGGGAGTCAAAAGTCATACACAGATTTTTGACTATGTGGAGGTCAAAACCTCTAACCCCTGCAATGATAAGGGTCAACTTTAATTATGAGCCTAGAGAAAGAAGCAATTAGATCCTCATCAACTTCTAATAGTGTAATAGCTGTCTAATAGCTAACAAAATTAACATACTAAAAGACTATGAACATACCTGATTCAAGGTATTTTTTTAATGATTCTTCAAGTGAAGGAACAGGCAGGGATGGAAGTGTATCCTGGTACTGAAATGTTCGTTCTTCAGTTGATTTAGCCAATTGGTTTTCCATGATACAATCACAATAGGGAAACTAAATAAAAGAGAGACACCCCTCACAACTTTAATCTCATAAATAATCTGATATAGGCTAGGTCCAATTCAATAAACCAATATTTAGGGACCACAGTATATCCAGGACTTGGTTCTAGTTCTTATGGAATTTATAAACTTGTCAAAGAAAACCAACAGAGAGAGAGAGGGGAAAGGGAGAGAGAGGAGAGAGAAAGAATGTAGACTTAAAATGCTAGAAGTTAAAGAGTGATAAGTGGGACCATTTATTGAACACCCACCATTTGCCAGGTGATGCAGTATGTGTTACACAAAACATGTTACCACCCTAACCTGCATGTTATTTCTGAAAATGCCATTCTTTGCCATTTTACTTACGAATAGACGAACTTGCCTAAGATCAAACCCAGGGCTCAAACCCAGATCTATTAAGACCACAATCTCTGCCCTATACAAATACAACATGATAGAGGGTGAGGGAACCTGCAGGAAGTCTTGATGGGTAGGTGAGAGTGGATGTGTATGAAAGGATTATGGGCTTAGAGAGAGAAAATTGAAGAGCAAAATACAAAGGGGTATAGAAGTGTTACGCAACGACAGAGCTACAGAATACATAAATCATATGAGAAGCTGCTGAAAACTAATTGTACAGATGATGCAAGGCCTACACAGAATGATTTTAAGTATCTCAAAGCAAACCTGAACATTTTCCACACATGTATTAATTTTCATCAAAGAAATTCAAAATGTGAATAAGGTATATAAGTGCTAAATGAAAAATTAAATTTCTCAAAGAAGCGTTTATAAATTATATACTAAAATAGCAACTGAGAAATCAAGGAACATTAATATTGTTGTATTAGAAATTCCTGTCCTTTCATATGCTACTTTTTAAAACAACACAGCCAAACAAAATATCTTACTCATAGAAGATTACAAAATTACATCAAACCAAAATTTTAAAGAAAAAAAATGAGGTTAAAAAATTAAATACTATCAAAAATAAGGGCCTGGCAGAAACCATTTTCAGCCAATACCTTTTCCCCCTGCTTTCTTAATAGCATCTCAAATGTTAGCAGGGTATACAGCCACCCAGCTGTATCTTTCCTATCCTTACCTGGAGCTCCATGTGGCCTTGTGATGTATATGTCACTTCCAGGTAATGTTCCTAAAAAGGACTACATGTGTTCTCCCTGCACTTTCCTTCCTTTTTACTGCCTGCTACGTAGTGCTAACTGGAATAGCACCTGGATCTGCTTATGGAAGCCATATATTGAGGTCAGAATTGAGGGAATTGAGGTCCCTACTAGTCCTGGTTTCCTACCTCTGGCTGTATTTATTTTATTGATGCCATTGCATTTTGGGCTTTCTCTGTTAGGGAGAAGAGCTTAGTCTATACACTAATATAAACACCTCAACAATTAGGAACAATGATCTCATTGTTTCTCTGCTTCTATCTGATAACTTTGGCTGTTCTCAGTTTTGACCTTCAAGAAATATGGCTTTGGACCTAATGGAAATGTAGATCTGGGTCCAAGTACAGCTAGCCATGTGCCCCTAGGTAACTAACTTTAAGTGATTTTCCTCATCTTAGAGTGGCTCGTCATGTAATTAAGTAAAAGACAGAATTTTTAAGTGCTTGCAAAAACACAATATAAAAATAAAATAATACAACCTGAAACAACCACATTTTGGTAGGCAGAATTTCTATGAATGCCCCCCCCCAAATTCTATCCCTAATCCCTAGAACCTGTGAATATGATGAGATCATTACTCCTGTGATTATGATTATGTACTACAGAACTGACCTTAAAATAGCGATATTATCCAGGTGGATCTAATCTAACAACTTGAGTCCTTAGGACCAGAGAGCTTTAGCTTTCTCTGATTGGTGGCAGAAGACAAGTCTGTTTTAAAGCATGAAAAGATTCCTGGGGCTGTTGCTGGCTTTGAAGATGCAGGTGGTCTTAAAGAACTGAGAATGCCCCCAGCTGACATGCAGTCCTCCTTCCTACACCTACACGTTTGGGAACTGAACTCTACCAATAACCTGAATGAGCCTGGAAGTAGATTCTCCCTCAGAGCCTCCAGAAAACAACCCAGACCTACAGAAATCTTAATTTCAGCACTGTTAAATTCTAAGCAGAGTACTCAGCCAAACCCACCCAGACTTCAGATCAATAGAGGCTGTGAGGTAATAAATTTGTGTTGTTTAAACTGGCAAGTTTGTAGTAATTTGTTATGGTAGCAATAGAAGACTAATACACACATAGAAAATAAGCTATTCTCGGTGTAACTGCCTGCCACTTAATAGATTCTAGAAAACTGGGAGCGAGAGTACTAATTCCATACCCACTAGAATGCTTAACTCACCAACAGTTGGTACACCTTTAAAATATGAATTATCAGATTCTTTCTTGAAGAGTTGTCTTGAATTCTAAACTACAAAGATTAAGTTAAACAATATAATTCCAATAACATTAAGAAAATGATAATGCTGGCCTTAATTAGAGTGGACTTCCTGGGGCAACACAACGTGACCTCACAGAAAGTGGAAAAGAGAATCAGTAACAATAAGCGAAGGAACAGACTGTCACATACCAGTACACCAAGAAGATGAACTCAAGACTATCAGGCGCCTGTTGAAACAATTGTGTTTTGAGATCACAGGGAACTGAACTAGACTGGTGACTGTGGGAAGGAAGAGACAAGCTTAAATATTTCAGATAAAAAAAAAAAAATTAACAAAACCTGGTGAAAGAAAGCGCAAGGCAGACAATCTAGGAGCTGGAAGGCCCCATAAACTTTTGTGAATCACTGCAAACACAGGCGCACACACACAAAAAAGTCCAAGTACTAGACAGCAGGATTAAATTATAGGATTAACTACCTAGGTTTCAGACAACCGCACCTTCCATTAGACAGGTCCACGACATACAAGGTACCTTTCGGTGCCCGGGTATCTGTGCCAGGAACCCGTCGCAGTGACAAGGGATCAAAGCAGAAAGGAACGAGCGCCCGGAGACTCCTCCCACCAGCCCAAGGACAGCTCTGCACACACAAGAAGCCACCAAGTGAGAGAAATCAAACCAAGCACCACGACGGACCAGCCTAGCGGCCCAAGCTCAGGAATACCTCTCAGAGCCCAGCAGGCGAGACTCTTAAAGACACCACACGCCCGCCAAATCCGGACACCTCTGCAGTGCTACAAGATTTAACTCTGTTCTACACAACTTAACTTTACCCCGCCCCGAGCTGGCGGGTTAGGGGGAGGGAGGGAGGGAGTGCTATTTCAGCGGCCCAGTCTGTCCTCGCCGCCGGCGCCTCGCCTCCTCCGCCGCAGCCTACCGCCGCGCCCGCCCGCTCCCTCCCGGCGGCAAAGGAGCGGGAATTGGACGGAAAGCCGCGAGGGTCCCGCCCCGCACTCGTCGGGGAACGGGATTGGACGGGAAGCCGCGAGGGTCCCGCCCCGTGCTTGAGGCCGGGCGTTGTCACATGGGATACGGCCCCGCCTCTCGTGGACGTTCTTGGCCGCTGGGGTGCTCGATTCTGGGCTGTGGGCCTGGAAAAGGCTTTCTCTGTACGGGATGAGCGGTCCGAACTCTGTGGGGCCGCAGCTTCCAGCCTGGTGCTGGGGGAGCTAGGCGCCCAGACCCGGGACACGGAGGAGGCCGCGCCCACGAAGGTACCCAACCCTCCGGGATGGATGCAGGAACGGATGGCTCAGCCCCACGTTCACCAACTTCTGCATGACTAGGCGCGCTGACTCCCTTGCTGTTCGCGCTCCCGCTCCGGCGTGCCACCAGCTCCTTCCTCTCCCCGGTGTGACGCTGTTTGCAGCCCCCAAGCAAGAACTTACACCAGTGCTTTACAAAGGAATCTTGTCCTGGCGAGAGAACAGTGACCACACAGATCCCTACTTGGCCTCTTTCCCTTCATCCTCTGAGGCTAAAGTTTGCCCAACTCAGATATGCTGCAGCACTCCACCTCATCCAGGTCTCCTTGCTCCTCCTCTACAAGTATTCCTGCTACCTGAAGCCCCGAGGGATGCTCACACTAAAAGCCTGGGGCTGATCTAATTGATGTCTTTTACTGTCTCACCAAGAAATGTAGTTTTAACCAGACTGGAGCTAGGCAAGTTCTAGAGGAAGATCATTATATGGTTAAGTAAGTTTCACAGATTCATTTTATATTTACCTTCTGAAATAAAACACACTGTTTCATTTTTAATTTTAAATAAACTGTTTTCCTTTTTGTGGAAGGAAAAGACCCAAAGTTTACACTGGCTCCGAACTAGATGTGAAATATAAAGAACTAGATTTCAAATTATCTTGTCATTACAGGGCCCAATCCCCCATCTGTCATTCCTAACTCCTTTAATAGTAAAATCTGACCTTAATGGAACTGAGGTTATTTATAACTGAATGTTCCCTTTGTGTGAATAGTCATAAATTTTCTACAGAAATTTTAATGTGTTGGATTACAAATGCAGCTTGCTGGAAGTGTTGCATAATATATGGCAGACATACCTTTCTAAGAAAAGTTCTGAATTCTGAAATATGTCTTGCCAAAAAGGTTTTAAATAAAGGATTGTGAACTTGTATTAATTTCTGAAAGTGTGCTAAAGAAGTTTTTTCTCTGAAAGTATATAAGTACTATGTTCTGGTTAATGTTAAAATTTGCTTACAAGATAGAGTTCTTAAATTGATTAATAAAAAGCTATAAAGACTGTCATTGTACAATTTTAGTGAATTTTGACATCTCTTACAAAGTTTACTGCATGTTTAATGCCTGCTGGTGGCATAGAATTTGGTGTCAGTTAGCTTCACTCTCTCTCAGTCTTGATATTATTTAAGTGGAGGCAAGATGCTTCTGTAAAGATTCCTGAATTCAATAGAGAAAAAGTTGTGGGACTGAAGAAAATGAGTGGAACAGAGATTTGAGTATGTAGAAAAAAATTCTTAAAATATACTGATAAGCAGATGTACCAAAATCACACACACAAAAAAGGGATTTTAAAATAATTTATGTTTTTCTTCAAAAATGTGATATATATTGTAATGGCAGATTCCAAATTATGTTGCATCCAGGTTAAATTTGAACTAGTTTGCATTTCTAAGAGTGAGTGGGAGATACTAGCTGGTGAGGAAGATGTTTCAGGTACTTGAAGTATTTCTGAAAATAAGAAGTTGTCCCAAGACTGCAAATTGACTATGAGTCAAAATATTTTTCTGGAGGAAACCTTGTATGTAGTACAAGTGGTGATAATTGTTTTAAGTTGCCATTAAAAAATATTTTATTTTTATTCCTATGTAGCTCTTTCTCAGTATACCACAAATTGAAAAGGCCTTTATAGACAATACTGGATAAATTTCCCATAAAAGGAATAAAAATACTAGAAGTTGTTCACATTATGCTCTCCATAACTAGTAGCTAAGACTTGTGACTCTAATAAGTAAGGAAGTGTAGTAAATAGCCCTAATGTTATAGGACAAGTCTGTGGTTACATCCACAGATGTATAAATGATGTATAAATATTACATCCGGATGTATGAATGAACATACTAAAGAAATAATTATGTGATCTTTTATTATTACATATTTTTAATGGGGTGCAGTAGAGGTGTGGTCATTTGGGGAAGTAGCCAACAGCAAATTAAAGTATGCTGGGTGTAAAGTAGTCAACCCGATATTAAAAATTAACTCTGTTACCAACAGCAGATGAACAGTGTTTCACACAAAGGGTCTCTTTTTAGTACTGATCATTTGGGGTTGCCTTTGATGATATTTATGGTACATGAAAATTTACCACCAAAATCCTAGGGGAAGATATACCAGGGGTCCTCAAACTATGGCCCACGGGCCACATGCAGCACACTGAGGACATTTATCCAGCCCGCCAGGTGTTTTTGCTGCCACTGCCTGTCCCACTTAGCAGCCCACTCGCCCAGGGCCCACAGTGCGCATGTGTGGAATGTGCACCGCACTCTCCAAGAGTCTGAGGGACAGTGAACCGGCCCCCTGTTTAAAAAGTTTGAGGACCCCTGTTACATACCATAAAGTTTATCCATTTAAAGTGTATAAATAAATGGTTTTTACTGTATTCACAGGGTTATACAGTCACCATAACCTAATTTTAGAACATTCTGTCATCCCCAAAAGAAACATTGTACCCATTGGCACTGCAGTCCCCATCCCCAACGCCTGGGCTGCAGACTGGTCTGTGGCCTGTTAGGAACCCAGCTGCACAGCAGGAGATAAGCAGGGCAAGCAGCAAAGCTTCATCTGTATTTATAACTGCCTCCCTACTTTGATGCCCCACATTAAAAACATTAAAAATTACTGGGGAATAAGATGTGTCTTTTTAAAAATTGAGTGCTAGGGGGTGTTGTATAGGCCGCAAATACCACAGTACCACAGTATTTTCAAATGTGAGATTATGAGCTGTAATAATCAGGGAAAAATTAAAATAGGTGGGCCACTAGGGAAACATGTCAGTTGGTAAGTAAGGAGGAAGATGGGCTTTCTTTCTGAATGTGTTAACAGTATGAGTGTTTGATAAATGTATGAGGGACAGTGAGGAACCCAGCAGAGATGAAAAGTTTATACTGGGTGTGTATCCAAAGAGAGCAATGGATGGATGGTGCTAAAAGATGAGAACCTTGGATACCAGAGACAAAAAACACAATTTTAAAGCTGGAAATATAACTTTCCCCTTTTGAACATAAAAGACAGGGACTCCAAAGGGGTTTATTGCCTCCAGTGCCCATAGGGTCTAGAATGCAAATTTCCTGCCTCTCAGCTGTTTCTGCTATACTACACTATCTCTCAAGATTGCTCTTGGCAAGAGAAAGCCATTATAGGTTTGTTAGCTAGACAGTGTTTTGGAGAGCACGGCAGAGTGAAGGATAAGATGTGAAGAGATTGAACCACAGGAGAGTCTCAATCAGTGTTTAAATTCTCAAGAAGAAATTCATTGCTGAAGGGGAAAAAAAGCCTGTTGCCTAGGAAGACCTTCCAGCCCCTTGTGGCATTATTATTATAGTTCCTGCATTGCAGAAGGCAAGAAAGATACAACACAAAAGTCCCTGTTTTTGAGGATCGGCATCTTTCTGGGAAGTGTCGTGAATGCTACAGTTAAGTTACACCTGTGTACTTTGAGCTCTGTCTCAGGTGAGTTGGAAGACAGCTGATCTCCATTCCTTGATTACTTCATATTCAGAAGTCAGACAACTAGATATTAAATATATGGATTTACACAAAGACAAAGTAAGGGCTTTCTTAGAAGTGACCACTCTAATATATTTAATAGATAATACTCTTAAGTAGCCATCTTTACAGTATGGAATATATGATTCTATATCATCACTACTTTTCAAGAAAATGAAGGATGCCTTTTCTCATATATTGGAAAGTGAGTTTTATGAATAGCCTTTAAATATTATGTATTTAATGTTTATGTACAAAATATTTTTCAGAAATCATTCCATTTAATCAGGCACTTAAAAGAATGAATTAAAGGCTCTTTTTTAGTAATAGTTTTTCTCCTGAGAAATAGAAACTTGACAACTTTATGAAGTTTTTATAGCAAAACTTTAAGTGACTTCCTCTTAAGTCAATAGAAATAAAATAGTCTTGTGCTAAGATTATTAAAGAAGCTTAAAGATACTGTATCATATTAGTGTGTAGGCAATAGCATTAACTCCTATTCAACATTGTATTCTTGCTTTATTGAAGCAAATATATTTCATATGAAGTATTGAGAATGTCTGATGTGTTTCCTGTGCCTCTTCTGGTTTCTGATATTTATCTTGTTACACGAAACCATTCTGCCTTTTGCGAATGAGGCAATAGTGTTTCCTTTTTGTTTCATAGACGCTGTTGTGTGATTAGCTAACTGGGTAAAAGGTTATATGAATAAGTATTTATTGATCACTGCTCCTTGCTCAGCATTATGTTAAATACAGATACAAACCAATGAGACAATTCTGAATTTTCCAGTTTTCTGTTTCCCTGGATATGACAGCTCATAGAAGGTAAAATTCCTAAGGTATTCTTTGTTGTATTTTATGGAGAAGCATGCATATTATGAAAAATAATCTTAGACTTCCCAAGTGTGTAACTTCTACAAAATGCATTTGAAATTATGCCTCTATACGTGCTATTAATATATTTATGCATTTTTTTCATTGTTTATACAGTTCTCAATGCCATCCCTTGCATTAATGTTTGCTTTTGATTAAAACTTCAACATAGGGCACATATCATTTTATTAGACATATTACATGTCTCTAAGTGCCAATCTAAAGTAGGTGTGGCTTGAATTTTTATGTGAAAACAAAAAAATACTGGATAAGAGCTGTTATCCAGTTCTGGA